CGTACATGAAAATGAGTGCACTTTTTTTAGTGTACTTAGTAGTATACAATCATGTATGTGTTGCTTAGCTGGCTTTGTAACACATTTTTTTAAACCATGCCGTTCACACTGACGACATGTCATTGTGGGCACGTACTTGACTCTTGACTTGAGTTCTAAGCAGAGAGTCGTATACACGACTCCCTGGTTCTAAGATCAAGAATGATGTTTTCAGAGAATGTGCAGTATACTTCAAAAAAAGTTCAAGTACAAAGACGTAAGGACTACAAAGTAGGTGACCAGGTGACCAAGGTGACCAGTGGCACTGGTGTAGCCTGTACTGACTACAGTCACACAGTCAGGTAGATCTAGTATAAGTAATACACGGGTACTAGTAGATCTACCTAATGTGATTATGATTGTCCTTTGGCAGTTTGGGGGCCACGCCACCACCATGCCTAAGCTCGATCGCGTGTAGATCCACAATCATGTAGAGAGTCTGCAAGTCATTGACAAGGCTTGAGGCTTGACACGAGTACTGTTAGTGTTACTTCAAGAAGCCCGGGCATGGTAGATCTACAATCCTGCATCGAAGACAAGTCAAGTGGGATGAGTGGAACGATTGAAATCTCGAACGAGCGCACTCAACACAGAAAAATGTCGAAAGAAGGAAGTAGTTACGAAATGTTCAGTTGTTTGAAACCTGGTTCCTGCATGTCAAAAGTCACAGACTCCAGTACAGAGCAACACATAATTCGGTCGCTCGACTGTGCTTTACAAGTGGGGTTAGTTACAATCACTGATGCGCCTGTCCGCAGCCGGTGGGTCCAGACAAGCATTTCTAGCAATGGGCAGGAGTTGAAGATCAGTTCTGCATTGCGGCAATGCGGCGAATAGGCAAGAGGCTGCTTTGCATTATTCTGCTTCTCGCACTGGCTGGCTTTCTGCTACGGAAATTGTCATCAGCGTTCGATCAAACGACAACTACCGGTCAGAGTAGCAATCCACTGCACAAGGTGCAGGTGATTATTTCCGAGGATGATTCGCCGAGCGGACCGACCTCTAGTAGCTCTACTCCACCAGGCCCATTATCATTTCTGCAGCAGATCAGACAGGAGCTGGAGAGGCATCATGATCGCTGGATTGCAGCAGAGCGAGCACAAAGCAGAGACCATGATTCACATATTTGGGCGCAGAACGTCAGTCATGATGGCAGCATAGCTGTGCAACCGCGTGTCTACACTGGTAGCCAGGCTGACCGTGTGCACCAGGAAGATCCTCCAGAGGAAACTGCTGACAAGCGGGATATCATAACGCCTGGTCGCAAGTCGTATCACACTGATTTATTGAACAATTCTGCCTCTGCTCCCCACCAAAGTGTAAATGCACAAAGTATTCACACTGCAGCCAGCACTGGTGCACTGCAAACGGTAGTAGCCGCACACACATCGAATTCCTCCAGCAGCTTTGAAAATGATGTCAGGGCCGCAGGGACTGATGCTGCGGGTGGCGATGCGAGTGAGCCTGGACACCTCGCTACATCACTGTCTTCGATCTCAAACCAGGGAGCATATCCCCAGGCTCGCACCTCTAGCCGCCAAGCATCAGTACGTAATGGCAGTCGACATCGACCCGATGGCTGTCGCTTTGACCTGAACATGACTGTGACTAGTGCCTGGACCGTAGCACAATTGAGGGCAGCCACGGCGCAGAGATGTTCTCTACTGCTGCAGAAACGGCACCAGAGTGAAGTAGCCTTTCTGTTCCCTGGCAAGGTCAAGGAACGGACCACGTACGCTTTCAAAGTGGTTGTTGCCGGGAGTGCTGTTAGCAAGTACGCGCGATGGGCAAGAACGCAATGGGATGCTGATTTGCTACTGATCGAAGCCTCAGCGCCTGCGTGTGCAGAGGAGAAGAGAGAGTTCTCACGAGAACGATTTCATGTGGAGATCTTGTGTGGAAGTCTTCGGTCATTTCACCAAGAAGTTGAAGCCACTGCAGGCGCAAAGGGCAGAGAATCAGATGTGCATGCCATTACTACACAGGAAAGCAAGATTAGATCAGAAATAGACTCTAGGCTGAGTCAGCCAGTAGGAACATTCACTCTATCACAGGCCTTCGCTTTGGCAGGCTGGAAGGATGATCCAGTCAATGTTCTGTTTCTAGCCTGCGACGGATGCGAACACACGATTCTTGATCAGCTAGTCAATGACAGGAAAATCCGGAACTTCTCAATCATCATTATCAGGATCATCTGCGATGAATCCAATGGCTTTAGTGTGGCCAAGCTGGTTAGGTTGCGACAGCAGCTGGCCGAATCACACCGTCTGCAAGCAGATTACATGTGCGTGTATCAAAAATGGTCAAAGTTACCTAATAACTTATCTCGGTAAGCCATAGTTGTGGTATTTATTCCAGCAACAAATAGTATTTACTCCGCTGTTTAATCGTAATCCATGCACAGTGGCATTTCCTTCCACTTATACCATATTTGAAATAGAAATAAATCGAATCAATTCCACTGTCACCACCACCACCACCACCACCACCACCACGCATCATTGAGGTTATCTTGTTGCTGTTGTTGTTACTGTTGTTGTTGCTGTTGTTGAATTCTTTATTCTCACGATGGCACCATCGCCAATAAGAGATATTTGTTGTTGTTGTTGTTGTTGTTGTTGTTGTTGTTGTTGTTGTTGTTGTTGTTGTTGTTGCGCTGCTGCTGCTGCTGCTGTTGCTGCTGCTGCTGCTGCTGCGGCTGTTGTTGTTGTTGTTGTTGTTGTTGTTGTTGTTGTTGTTGTTGTTGTTGTTGTTGCTGCTGCTGCTGCTGCTGCTGCTGTTGTTGTTGTTGTTGTTGTTGTTGTTGCTGCTGCTGCACCTGCTGCTGTTGTCGTCGTTTCGTCACTGTCGTTAAATTGTTGTCTCCATGTCGTTTATTTATAAATTTCATTGTATCTGTTACTGTCATTCTCTCTTCTTTCTACGTACTTGTGGGCATGTGCTTTTGGCATGGGCTACCAGGGTCAAGATGACTCTTTTTCCACGGCTCATCTCGCACCACTTCCTAATGAAGTAACTGTTATTACTTCCTTGATTAATCGGGCTAGAGTCACTGAGTTAATCAGGCTAGAGTCACTGAGTTAATCGGGCTAGAGTCACTGAGTTAGTTTGCGATATCTCTGATCATGGTTATTCTAATTAACGTGCTTCCATCAAACACGCCCGCATAGATATGGATGAAGTTCCACCTAACCAATTCTGAATCCATTCAGAGCTTAGGTTGCTTGGCACATCATCCGGGTGGGCGAGTTTTGACCAGCCCCTCATTTTGAATACTCCTATCATATGCTTTTTGTACTGAGCCGTGTCTCCTCTATGAATACGAGTGGATGAGTCTGTCAATATATTTATCCAACTGCATGGGTTGTTATGCAGCACCTTTAGACGACCCTCCTCTCTCCATGCAGCCTGCACACCCTCAACATGACAAGCTTTTGTTTGTTTTGAGTCCTTGTTTTTGCGATGAACCACTGCTGTTGTTTTGTCACTGTCGCTGTCGCTGTCTCCGTCATCATCATTGTTACAGTTGCTGCTGTTGGTTTTGCTGTTGCTGATCGTGACTGCTTCTGCTGCTGCTGCTGTCCTCGTGGTTGTTGCTCTTGCAGTTGCTGCTGCTGATTTTATTGTTGACGATACTGCTGCTGCTGCTGCTGCTGCTGCTGTCGCTGATGTTGTTGCTGATGCTACTGTCATCGTTGTCGGCGTTGTTGGTGCTTACGTTGCTGTGGCAGCTGCTATTGCCTTGGGAGACCTGACAACCCATGCCGGTACAAGGGAATTGGCATTGTTTATAACGTAGACTGGCCATGACTGAGAAATAGGTACGGGTAATAATGCATAGATGCCTAGATCCACCATTACCATGACAACTACTACCACCATTACCATGACAACTACTATTCTGCACTTCATTTTTTCAACGATAGTGCTGATCAATGAAATCTGATCATGTGAGCGTGAGTTGCACCATAATGGAAATGATCCATAGGCCTGTACTGTCCACAGCACATCATGCATTTTTTTCTCAGGCTCAAAATAATTGGAATGAAAAATTCAAAAAACAACGGTCAAGTACGTTAGTTTTCAGTTTTCGAATTTCGAACGGTAGGTCTACTACTAGTACTTGTGACGAAATGTGGACGATTTTTGCACCATGATGATGCTCGTATCATAATCAGGCCATCATCACTGACATCAGGTCAGGGTTCTTGATTGCTGCTGTCATCATGGTCATGACATGAGTGATTATCCAGCAAAGGCAGCATCTACACTACAGATCTATGCCATGGCCGGCCCGGAGACTAGAGCTTAGGGACCATCGCAAAAGTTCGCAGAAGCCCCCGAAACGAAGACCGTGAGTTTCGGCCCTGACCCCCCTCCCTCCCCCCTCAAACGAAACGACAGTCACAATATGGGCTTCATTTTTTCACTTGGATGCTCACACATAATAATAATTATAATATACTACACAAGCATTGTTGTATCAGTGTGTAACAATGTACAGCACTTTATAAATGCAACGATGATATCACCTTGCAGTGGGTGATCTAAGAACGAGAACAGCTACAATTATTTGTAGAGCTATGCAGTTGTATCCTTTGAGCATTACAATGAACGTTGATTGGTGTATATTGCTTTCACTTTCCCCATACGCGTCCTGACAAGCGATCTACGCCGGCTGTGATGGCATGCTAATCCTACAGCTCCTATAATTATGTCGTCAATACTTTTTTGAATTGAAGCCCGGTTTGCGATTTTCGCACCGACTCCCTCCCCCCCAAACGTATGCTCTTCGTTTCAGGGGCTTCTGCGAACTTTTGCGATGGTCCCTTACTTAGAAGAACTAACTTGTACTCAGTTGTAGGGTAATTTTTATGCCAAACACAGCGTGTTCATCACGTGATGAGTCCTAGACAAGATCCAAACTAAAGACTGCAGTCTGAAAAAATGAGAAAATAATTCTTGTTTCAAGACAACATCGATCACGGATTGTCACAACGAAAATAGCGAAGGGTCATCAGCCACTTGAAGTACTTACCTCAGTCCTGAGCTCAAGAGGTTCACAATCGCCGTATAGCTCTGCCGAGTATTTAGCCGGCACGGTAATCACCGTGCGTGTGTATTGGTTGGAGCAAGCACTGTGAGTTGGGTGAGATCTGCAACGATGCTTTACTCGTATCTATTCACGACGTTGGCGTTGGTGGTGATGCTGGAGCGCGTGGCCGCTGTGCCCTCTGTGGACTGCAAGTCACAACCGCAAGCCGGCTATGACTTCTGCAACACCGAACTGACTCCTGAAAAGAGGGCCACCGACTTGGTATGACTATGACTTCATGCTGTGTTTTACTTGTCTCCTGCACACCCACTTCTGCAATATGGACTAGTACTCAATCCCCGAGCTACATCGTATACTTATTTAGAATGATATTAATAATAATAATGATTGCACAAGTCATGTACGTACTACTCACACAGTCACAGTCTCCAGACAGCTAGCTGCTTTGACCTTGTTACTGCATTTTCCGGAGTATAAGGCGCATCGCCCATTTTTGCCACGAAATACAGAAATCTATCCGATTTATCTCCGTTATTTTGGCATCGGAGTATAAGCCGCAACCCCCTTTTTTGGGTGAATTTTGAGTATTGAAAGTGCGTCATATACTCCGGAAAATACTGTAGGTCTCATCAGTGTATAGTAAAGGTAAGTGAAGTACACAGGGGCGCTCACACTGCCACATGAGGCTCGCGTCCACCGTTGCAACAGGATCTAGGAGCGGCCAAAGCTACAAAATGATTTTAAAATGTTTATCCTCTCACAGATTTTCTATTTTAAAGCAATAACATATGGGCTATTTGGGTCCAATTTTCCTAAGAATGTTCCCCAGGACCCCTGATCCCCCCCCCCCCCCCCCCTCGCCCCTCGCCTTTCCATGGTTGCACCGATGTAGAATACCTTCTGACGCCCCTAAATGTGATGGTCTATGAACAAAGAGAATTGTTGGGTTTTCAAATTTCCGAAGTTAATGTTCGGTAATTCGAAATTGTCTTTCAAGTTCAAATTGAGTGAGTTTTTTACCGGCAATGAGGACTCCTATTTCATGCAAGTCCGGGAAAGGCTCAAACCTCCAACACTGATGGAGGGCAGACTTGTTTGTTTATTCTCCGCCTGGGTGTCTGAGTAATTCTAAATTTCTGTCTGATGGTCACGCGCTTTGAATTCAGGCCCGGTTTCGGAGCACGTTCACCATTTCCATGGGACTTGACGCCCATAGCCGCGACATCCCTTTCTTGCGGTCGCCGTCAGAGTTTGAAACGTAACTGCAACGTTTTAAGGTATCGCACATGCCGTTGCCTTCCAGCTTGGCCGCATGAACGCATGTTTCGGTCGCAGTGTGAGCGTGCCCTTAGCGTGTAGCACATAGACGGGAAGAACATAAACGTGTAGCGCGATACGTGAAAAACACGAGGCGTGTCATCCATCCTCATGCGGTTTTATTACGCCAGGACATTGTGCAGGTTTGTGCTTTAGAGAGGAGGTGGTGCCTGAGTGCGGGGATCTGAGAACAGCCACGGCGAGATGTCAAGGTATAGGCTACTGTAGACAGTCTACATGCCAAGAACAAAATACATCAAGACGCATCCAATTTTGCGAGTAAAACCAATATTGTGTAACGTGTATGCATGCTTGCAGGTTGGACGGCTGACACTGGATGAGCTGATTCAGCAGACTTGGACGATTGCACCAGCTATAGACCGTCTAGGCATCAAGGACTACAACTGGAGGTGATATATTTTGCACGTCTCTGTGTTTTCTGTACGTGTGTGAGTGTGTGCGCCCATGTGTGTATTTGTGTGTGTGTGTGTGTGTGTGTGTGTGTGTGTGTGTGTGTGTGTGTGTGTGTGTGTATGGATGTGTGTGAATAATACTCCGAACTGCAGAGGCTATGCCTAATGACATCATCGTTCAATATACAATGATGTCTTTGGCACAACCTCTACGAAAACATATTACATGTACATAAACTAGAAGGGAAAAGAGGGGGTGCGACTCACAATGGAGTGCCACATCCTACCTACGTGACTGTTGGAACCATTTGGCTCGAACCTGAAAAGGGTGTGCGACTTATAATCGACTGTGACATATAATCGTGAAATACGGTATAACTATGTGTCTCATTCCACTTCTCTTCCGCATCTTTGGTCACTTGTCTTTCAGGTCGAATTGTCTGCATGGCTGGGCAGCTTCAGGTGGACACTGGGAAGAGGACCAGAAATGGACTGTGTTCCCTACGCCGATCGCCCTGGCTGCTACGTTTGACTTGGACCTGGTGGAGAAGGTGGCAGCGGTCACGTCCGACGAAGGCCGTGCACTGCATAACATGAACCTGGAGCGGAATAACGGCTCGAGTGTGGAAGCCGCTGGTCTGAACTGCTTTTCGCCCAACGTCAACCTCTACCGAGACCCACGGTAATAAATGTACTCAGTCTTTTGCAAACCAACCAAATCATTTTCCAACAGTTGAGCGTCGGTTCCATAACATGTACAAGTTGAAATTTGTTGACCATTGTCTACGTGGATCTCCAGCGCTCCTACCAACATTGTTGGTTTCGTCTCCTTTGTTTTCTTACTGACAGCTGGGGCCGTGGAATGGAAACATTCGGCGAGGATCCCTACCTTGTGGCCCAGGTTGGTTTATACTACACACTGGGACTGCAGCAGGAGGCTGCCAACCCTCACTATTTGAAGGTACAGTACTTAGTTGGGACTACTCTGTATCAAACAACCTATGGTCATGCACTAGTGATGTACGTGTGAAGAGATGCGATCAGCGTGGCACATGTACATGACTGCATGCACTGTGACACGAACTAGCGATGGGTGGATGTCCTACATGGCGACCTCAGCTCGCATGCGTGTTATGTTCCCATATGCATGAGAATAATCACTTTACTCCTTATTCTGTGCTTGTTTTTGCTAGTCTACCTACTGCTGCTTATATCACCTACGCATCGTTTAAACTGTACCGTCCTGGTTTAATTCTCTTTTTGCTTGTTGTCCGCCTGAAGAGAAGGCAATGAAAGTGCTTGTGGCACTTTGGAATGTTGGTTGTAAAGAGCCTGAAGTTGTGTACTTCGTTAGTCTCATCATCCATACTCATTCCTATTTTCTAATCTTCTAGGTCGTTGCCTGTCCAAAGCACTACGTCGTGCACAGCGGCCCGGATCAAGATCGTGCACATTTCACTGCCAACACTACTCTGCATGATTTCTATGATACGTACGCTGTCTCCTTCAAGACGCAGGTAAGTGAGAGCGTATTATTTATGATAGTGAGGGAAGTAGAAATATAACTCGTATAGTAGAAGCGCTCACGGTGAAAGTAACGGCGGAACTCTGCAACTATCTGTGTACGTGCATGATGGAGAGATAGAGCAGAGTTGTGCCATGCAGGCATTTCTTCGTTTCCCCGTATCTTTTTACGTTGGACCACACGTCTTTACGCAGATAGCTCTTCTTTTCTTTTTTTGTTTCCATCAGATTATGGCTGGTCATGCGGGTCAGGTCATGCCGGCATACAGCGGTGTGTACACGAAGGGTTCGGAAGACGGTGCACCCGACTGTGCGAACAAGTTCATTCTGAAGAAGGTGCTGCGCGAAGAGTTCGGTGGACACAATGTCTCTGTCTGCTCTGACAACGGTTGGTTAATGTATTATCAATGTCTTCTGGGGCCTTTTCTTTGGCCACACCTGAATATACCAAAGTATATGCTGTTGTTTTCAATGAGGGAAGGGGTTAAGTCCAGGAATTTTGTTTTATCTGCAAAAGCTTGCATCTTAATATTTATATACGGTAGGGATGGAAAGGGAGAGGGTGAGGGTGAGGAAGAGTGAGAGGGAGAGACAGGAAGAGTGGGAGTGAGAGTGAGAGGGAGAGGAAGAGAGATAGGGAGATGGAGAGGGAGAGAGAGAGAAAACGAGATCCCCCTCCCCCAGTGCCATTTCTGGACACGTGGAATCATGTTAAAAGCATTAGACTGTACCCAGAAGTCACATCCTTCTATATTTTAGTAACTAGTGGACTCTCCCCGGTCACTTGTTTTCTCCAGGTGGTGTTGCAATGGTGTACGCAACTCATCATTATGTTCAGACTGCTGAGGAAGCAGCGGCCGTCAGCATGAACGCTACTACTGATCTTGACCTGGGACATGATGCAATCTATAGCAAGAACCTTGGCAAAGCAGTCACGGACGGCTTGGTTGCCAAATCCACCATAGAGGACTCCGTCTGGCGCAATATGTACTGGAGAATGCGCCTCGGTGACTTTGATCCAGAGTCGGTAAATAGCTGTGTATTGAGTTGCCTTGTCTGCTTCTTTCGTTATCATGTAGTCTTAACTACCGCTATGCTGCCGCCGCATTGCGTGGTAGCCTTGCCGACTGTGTATGTGTGTCTGTAGTATGCTGGAGCTGACAGTAAACAAGGGGCGCTTGTGATGAGCGTCAATGCAAAGCTGTTGGAGAGCTCAAGTGCAGGAATATGACCTGGTCGTGCAGCAATCAAGTATAAAAAACAGCAATGAGTTTTACCTGGTCATTCACCAAATGACTTTGTTATTATTGGTACGCATTACAGGTACAGATGTGTGTATGTTGCCTGTAAGCCGTGCACTGCAATCTGTATCTGAAGTTCATTGCTAGTGCAGTGCGGGTTTTGTACGAAGTGTGTGAAAGTAAATTATCGTGTCCGTTCCCGAAGGGAACTCACGACGGCCACTAACACACGGTAAACCCTAGCGGCAGATGCAGCGCCTAACCTAACGCTGGGGGTGAGTGGATAAGTCTCACAACCACTGACACAAGTGCCGAGAAAGACCCCATTAGCCGCATCCATGTACCCCTTGTGCCTGGCCACAAGCTCCCAGTTGACTGTGGGTAGCAGCACGGCTAGAAAAAACCGCTCCCAGGCAGGACTTGAACCAGGTTCCTCTCGTATCTCAATCATGGTCTTTGACCAACCCACTGTGCCTGCCTGAAGTGAAGTGTGTGGTGCTGACAATATGAATATATATATTGTACTTTGCCCAGATGGTCCCATATCAGCAAATTGACAAGACCCACCTCAATACCAATGCATCACAGAAGCTGAACATTAAGGCTGCTCGTGAGTCCATTGTCTTGCTCAAGGTGAGAGCTCTTATAAGCGTTATTCGTATTATGTAAAATAATTGTCCTTATAATAAAAAAAATAGAACAAATCACCTGGAAACGAGTTATGAAGCAACTATGCACGACTGTAACAAGATAATAAGCAGTAGAATGTGCATTCGTGGTTACTTATATTTATTGGCTCAGTATACGAGTTAAAATTGTCCTTATAATCAAGCAAACTCATTATTATGGGAGCAGTTATTCACCCAAAAATCCGATACACAAGAGGTACACAAAGGAGAGTAAGGGATTGTAGATACTGCAGTTATCACAAAGTGATCAAAGTGATCAAAGACCGAAAATAGCAATTTGCTGTGTCAATGTTACACTCCTGTGGTCAAGAGTTCCCAATTGACTGGGGGGCATAGCATAGTCGGAACTACTCATTCCGATTCGAAGCAGGATTTTTGAATTGACACCTTATGTTTCTCACTTGTAATCTTAGTGGCTTAGAGCATTAGACTATAGTATGTTCATCATGGGTAGTGGTTGTTGATTTATGATTGCATTGTTTGGGTAGTGGTTGTTGATTTATGATTGCATTGTTTGAGTAGTGGTTGTTGATTTATGATTGCATTGTTTGGGTAGTGGTTGTTGATTTATGATTGCATTGTTTGGGTAGTGGTTGTTGATTTATGATTGCATTGTTTGGGTAGTGGTTAATGATTTATGATTGCATTGTTTGGGTAGTGGTTGTTGATTTATGATTGCATTGTTTGGGTAGTGGTTGTTGATTTATGATTGCATTGTTTGGGTAGTGGTTGTTGATTTATGATTGCATTGTTTGGGTAGTGGTTGTTGATTTATGATTGCATTGTTTGGGTAGTGGTTGTTGATTTATGATTGCATTGTTTGGGTAGTGGTTGTTGATTTATGATTGCATTGTTTGGGTAGTGGTTGTTGATTTATGATTGCATTGTTTGGGTAGTGGTTGTTGATTTATGATTGCATTGTTTGGGTAGTGGTTGTTGATTTATGATTGCATTGTTTGGGTAGTGGTTAATGATTTATGATTGCATTGTTTGGGTAGTGGTTGTTGATTTATGATTGCATTGTTTGGGTAGTGGTTGTTGATTTATGATTGCATTGTTTGGGTAAGGACACGACGGAAACATGTACAATGTAGCATTAGATTTACTCGATTGTGTGTGTATGTGTATGTGGGTGTGTGTGTGTGTGTGTGTGTGTGTGTGTGTGTGTGTGTGTGTGTGTGTGTGTGTGTGTGTGTGTGTGTGTGTGCGTGTGTGCGTGTGACTGTGCGTGTGACTGTGTGTGTATGCATGCGTGCACATGCGAGCGTGTGTGTGCATATGTGTGTATGTGTGTGTGGTATCAGTTGTCCGAGCATTGCCTTGATCACTTACGCTGACTTGATCAGACGCGTAGTGCTATGTGTATTGCTCGTACTTAAATGTTTAAATTTCATGTCCTACCGTACTTGATTTATGATCCCGGTACATGCATTGTACATGGAAGTGCCTTCACAACTTGTGGATTTACTATGCGACCTGTGAATTCTGGTACTGTGTTGGTTGCATTCAGAATGATGCTAAGTTGCTCCCACTGAGCACCACTGCACATCGCTTTGCTGTGATTGGTAAGTGCAGTGTATCCTGCCCGGTCTCTTCTACAGAATGTTCTGGAACACAACCTCTGCTGGTATGCTTGTGACATGAGCGCACACATTATCTTATTCAAAGTAAAGAGAAAAGACCAATAGGTTACGAGCAGGGAGTCATAAAATACCGGGAGGCGACACGCCACACATTTCACGATCCGAGGATTGCTGCACTCGACCCGCGAAATTTGATGCGTGATTGAAACGTCGTCGTCATCTTCTTTTTCTCAATTGTTTTTGCTATGCTTCGAGGCCTATTCTGGATCTCCAGAGCGAAAGCTGGTTGTTTCTGATACGTACCACGCATTACCTTAGGTTGAGCCGTGGCTTTTAATTTTTTTTGGGAAGTTCACTGCTTTGGAGACGACGGAATGTCAAGGTAAGTTATTCCCGAAATATACTCAAATTTGAATTGAGTAAGTGCGAATGACACCCTGTTTTCGGAATAGTTCTTCACTAAACACACCATGCCCATGGCCCCTTCATGTTGTCCAAGTTCCATTCTCGGTTTGTGTGAAGTTTCGAGATGAAGATCGATGATGCACTCACCTTTCCATGGAAGGGAAAAAAGTAGCATATCAAACAGAATCCATGCAGCATTTGATGCCACTATCCTCATTCTTCTGCATTCAAAGTGTTTCACATTATGGTCCATGAACTACACACAATATTTGTCATTTCTTAACTGTTCATAGCTGTTCATACTTGAAATAACTGTGTTCTGAACACATTGCCTTCAGGAAACGTAAGGCCGAGTCGCCTGACCGACTGAGCAAAGTTCTCTGCGACGAAAGTCACACTATCGGCAAATGCACTCAAGGCGAATACCCGTGAATACCCTGTATACTGCTTGATCCACTTATCACAGAAGCATACACACACACGCACGCACACACATACCATGCATACGCCCGTCGCAAGAGAAGAACGCAAGTCTGCAAATGCACTGGATGTGCACCCACAGATTTTCTCTTATAGCAACGATAGCGAACAAGATCTGAATGAGACAGATCAAGACTTGCACCAGATAACTGTATAATCCACACAACTGGCAAAGCCATGTGAATCGACCACCAATGCACAACACACATACACCTTTGGACCTTTGGATGCCCATTGCTCCGTGCAATGATAGCATCAGGAGTTGCAGTATTTCCTGTGGCGGGTTAGATCATTGGGCCGACGGAAGTCCCTGCCACAGCCGCAAATGAACACTCTAGGCTTTGGCACAGCCGCACACATATACACACACACACACACACACATACACACACACACGCATGCTCGTGCAACATTCACATTTCACTGCTTCAGTTGTTTTTAGCTGTGTCATATTGTGTCTTATACAGAGCTTCACTTTGGGAAAAGCTGTTGAGATGCTGGAGAGCACTTGTTGCCATGCTTGCAAAATGCCAGCACCATTGCATGCCTTCAGCTGGCACACTTCCTGACGTAGCAGATTTCCAAAACCTGATGCCTTGTGTAACTGTGTCCTGATAATATGCAGGAATGACTCCATCGCATCAGTAACACTCGCCTGTCTCATTGTCAGCAGTTCGCAAATTCCATGGATTATTTCACCTTCCATAGGCCTGTACACCATGGTGGCACTGCCACTCTTACATGGATCTGCACATAGGCAAAGCAAGGGTTGAGGGCGGAGGTTTACATATAATGTCAACAATTTACATACTAGGTACACACGTAATTTTCAGGACATGAATAAAATAATATCCTGTCACAGTTTCAACACTGTCACATGTCATAGTGAACAGACAATGCACCGTGGGCAGACTCCCATTTTTCGGGTGAGTTTGGGGCGCTTAGTATGCTACAGATTATACATTCGTGTTCACAAGGACAAGACGAGACCAAAAAATGCAGACGAGAGAATCTCACCAGTAGTCCACAGCTGAACATCTCCACAACTCAGGTCACCAAGTGGATACGTGGCGTCATCTACATCTTCCACGGTGGACTCATCACTTTGGCAGGCATCTCTGTCAAGCTCCACAATCCTTTACCCCGTCAAGGCACAAACTTAGAATCACCAAATCAACTGCTGACACTCGGACGATTCCTTGGGAGCAGGATTATTTTTTGGATTTTTGGGACCAAACAGCGAACGCGTCCTTTGTGCATGACCTGCGCCGCTTCGACCTCATGGGGATTCTATATTTTCCCTCAGCACTCGTGCCCGAGCTGAGTCAATCATCCGACGCGGCTGTGCATCTCGTGTCGCCTCCCGGTATTTTACGACTCCCTGGTTACGAGTTATGACTAACAGTCCACCAAGGTAACGTGATAATATATACTTTTAAATAGTGTGCGACAGCAAGGCACTAAACTGACAGGGGTACTGAGACATTCAATGACCTGGCATCTTATCTTATCCATTTATGATAGTGGAAACAAACAAGTACGTGTCTTGTGTGACCTGCGTCCCGGGGCACGGAATGGCCGTGATTCCGTTACTATTACTATTTTACAATTATTGTCTCAGCATTGCCTGTTCCTCTACAGAAGTAATGAAATACTTCGAACTACACCGTGGCTTTAATTAGTAAGGAAATTGTAACGGAACTAATGGCAAACGTTTGAAGAGAAATTGAATTGACCGTGTAACCAATAGAACTCGAACCGGGGTTCTCGCCTGCAAGTATTATCCAGCGAATATTATTGTGCTTTCCTACTCTTTCGCAGGCCCCAACATAGATGCTGCTAAAACCCAAATGGGCAACTACGAGGGAAATGCAGAGGACCAAGTGTCCATTCTGGATGGTATCAAGGTAAAACTAGTGCCGTGTCTTGTCTTGTTTGTTTGTTTATATTTATTTGACGTCACCAAAATGAACAGGCATTTCTATGCCTTCTCGCTTGCTGTGACGGCCGGTTCTCACAAGGTGATGAAAATAGTTGATATGATGGAAATAAGAAGGGGAGGTGAGACGTACAGAATCTGGCTAAAATGGGAACTCTGAGACGTCTTCAAGAGAATGAAAGCACACCGTTGTGCCATCTCCATTTTGCACATACACAAGTACATGTACTTTTATCCTTGAGGTTTCCGGGTTTGGAAAATCAATCAAATAAAACAAAATGAAATGAAACGGTGGAATGTCACATGATCTATTTCTGCTTCATACCATACATGGTCATGGAATCTCTTGTACTCTAGTTGAGCAGTGATATTACTTGTATTTTAGCCTGTTGGCTAAATGCTACATGGAATTCCAGTGCAGTTACTGCACTCTGATCAAATCAAAACTGTATAATTATTATATTTTGTGTGCTAGAACTTCCTCGAGGCTGATGAATCCCATGCTGAAGTGGCTGACGTTGCAGGCTGTAAAGATACATCATGCACAGACGAGAGCCAGTTCAAAGAAGCAGTGTCTGCTGTGTTGCAATCTGACGTAAGTACGGGCAAAGCGCCCGCGTGGGTACTGTACATGTGGATGGATGTATTGCACTTTTCAAGGGTGTTGTCACGGGAACAGCCAACCAAAATTCAGCGTGTGTGGACTATTACTTTGCACTCAGCGCTAGCGTTCAGAGGGAATATCTGGTGTGGAGGCTGCTGGATGCATCAAGGTTTCAGGATCAGAGTGACGTTAATTGAAGCTAAGAGCGTGCCACCGCTGCTGGCGCACCCCCGGCCACCACGCAGGCTGCAAGGCTCTCTCACTCTCTCCTATTGTGTAGTCTCTCTCTCCTTTGACCAATTTTGCTCTTTTCTTGTTCCCTCCCTTGGTGTTCTCTCTGTGTTTTCTCTCATCAACAAACTCAAACCCGTCATTGCCATCTTCAATCAGTCCGTCAATTCATAGTAGTAATAGCCAATAGGTTTTTCATTTGACCCGAACTCTGTCTATGGTTGTTTCTCTCTTTCTAACAACAGGTTGTGATCATGGTACTGGGACTGTCTGGTCACCAAGAGGGAGAAGGTCATGACCGTTCTAAGATCAACTGTGGCTCAACGGACATTGACGTTCTGGACCTTCCAGGTTGCCAGCTCACTCTGGTAAGTCACAATGAAAGTTGTTGTAGGACTGCACTATATCTGCTGTCTTCTTGGCGAGTTGCTTCTATGAAAGTCATTCGCGCTCGATCAAGTTGTAGATACGTATACTACCTGAACACAGAGCCACGATGTGAGGCATGGCTTTCTAAGTCTGCTGGGAACCATCTGGGGTATTCATTTTAAAGGCAGATTTTAAATTTCAAGCTGCTGTCCTTCTGCAAGTATCGAAATGTGTATGATGCGTTTTCCCTGCTTCCTTCGACCTGTTATCTGCTTTCTGCGCAGCTTGAATTCGTTATTAAAACTGCCAAGCCTGTCATTCTGGTTCTTATGAATGGTGGGCCACTCAGGTATGTCGTTTGAAACGCATGTTTCCAGTTTTAAAAGGAATTTTGATCTGACCAGTGAATCAGAAGCCCTAGACATTTATGTTCGCAGCAAAGAAATCATTGTCCTCTAACTGCCATGTATGGTGTCCTGGCATGGTGGCAGAGGGTCTCCTGCAATTGCATCACATGTGGCACTCAGACTCTGCTCTGGCTCCGATTATCAAGGAAGCTAGCTTACTTGCGAATCGAATGGACTGAGATGGTAAATAGTTATATAATGCAGTCCTACACGAGTTAGCAGTGTAACTAGGCTGGATTAAGCTGTAACTCAGAGTTTCATGGCTAGCTGCCAATCCTCAGACAACAAAGCAGTCCTAAGACTATTGCCGCATATCAATATGCTTGGTTCTCACTCCTAGTACCGATGATTTATGGTACTATTGCATGCATCATCGTATCGTCGCTTGCAGATACAGTTTCGCAGAGACCCATCCATTTTTCTTTCTTTTTTTGCACCCGCTGGTTTAGTATCCCCTGGGCTAAAGATCATGTGCATGCCATCATGGAAGTCTGGTATCCCGGTGCCCTCGGTGGAACGGCAGTTGCTGAAGCTATATTCGGTAAGGGTGACGTTCCTTTTCTCCTACGGCTTTTCGTAAATAGATTCTTTAGTGTGCATCTGTGTCTCCTGTGGTCAATCCAATTGCTGTGCAAGTTGAAGACCACTTGTGTTCCCACCTTTAATGCTATTTTGAATATTTTTTTCAACACCAATTTCAACTTTTGTCAGGGCTGTGGAAGAGATGTTAGCTTTCAGTAGTTTACGGTAGAAGCTGGCTGAGCAGGAAATGTACTAGAATGTACTAGAATGTACTACTGCAATCCAGTATGAACTGTGTGAAAGGCTGAATAAGTGCTCGGTGCACCGCCGGTATCCCAGTTAGCATTCTCGGTCCCACACACCGGGGTTGGTAGCATGATGTATGATTGTGACGTCTGTGATGCAGGGTAGAGCACATACGGTGCCAGACTTGTTTGGAGAGTGTATTTTCTGAACTTTGAGGGCATTAGAGGCAAGCTGTATAAGAGAGCTTAGGCTATTGAGGTGTTTTGGAGTACGAGCTCGTAGGTTCAAAAAAAGGGCTACCATCAGCATCCTTCATATCTTACCATTCGAAACAGTTTCTTCACACTCTCATGTTGATTTCTGCCCGGTTGCAGGCAAATTCAGTCCCAGCGGGCGTATGCCAGTCATGACCGTGACATCGTCAGCTGAGCTGCCCAACGCAACAGACTACAGCATGACTGCAGCACCGGGCCGCACTTACAAGTAAGAAAGCAAAGCCGGCGTTGTGCAGGGTCTGGTCTGCGTTGGGCACACACTGTTTAGCTCCTGCACGCCCGGACTCGGGAATGGATAACACAGAAATGCATAACCACCTGCTTCCCATCTGTACACTTACTAACACATCATGCCTGAACGGAATCCTACTTGTTAGACATTTTTTTTTAAACCCGATATTACTGCTACATCATTCTACAATAGTGTACTGTGTAACCGTATTGCGTGACCAATCCTTTCAATGTTCTAATCTTTCAAGTGACTTTTCCTTTTCTACCTGCACTCCTCCTTGGTTCCCCTTTTCTCTCTAGCTCTTCTCTTGTACCTTCTTGCTATTATTCACTTAAATGGGTTTTTTTGAATAAAACAAGTCGAACACAACAGTGTACTTGATAATAGCTGTTCCTTTTTTTTTTTTTAGAATCTAGGCCCAGTGTGAACTCCAAACCCTGTGTTCATGTGCTACCTGTATGTGCTTTTCATGCTCCTGTGTTCCTTGTGTTCCTTGCTCACTTGCCAGGTATTACACTGGAGAGCCACTGTTCCCGTTCGGCTTTGGCTTGACCTACAGTACGATTAACTACACCACCATTGTCGTCTCACCGACGTCGGTCGCTGTAAGTACATGTACCTGACTGTAGTGGCGGAGGTAGGGGGTCCCATCCTTCTGGACATCTAATCCTGCTTTGAGAACTGGACGGAGGATTAAAGGGGATAGCTGGTAATGTCAATGATAGTGGTGTAAGTTCAGCATGAGGAGACGCCGAGCGATGTACCAAAAAATCCAGTCAAACGTTGTTTCCAGTTACTGTTATCAATGAGGTAATTCAATTATCATTGTCGTCACAGCTCCTGTATTACCCATCGCTACCTGTATCCTCGTGCTCGATTTATCCAACCGATAGTCATGACAATGGAGCATGGGTTCGAGGCTAACCATATTTGTGATGATTTCCCTCCGTTTTGTTTGTTCGTCCAGGCTTGCAAACCGGTGGAAGTCACGGTTGGAATTATGAACAGTGGACACCGCAATGTCACTGAGGTATGGATGTTACTGTCCACAGCGTGGCAGAGTGTTGCATAGCTAAGCATGTTGGTGTGGTGATAAATTGACCAATGCGTCATAAGTTCTTATAACAGTGATAAAATCCAGGCATATTTCATTTTACTTGGTTGCAACTACGTTAGGAGTGCTCTGGGGTTATCGGCCCTGACCTCTGTTTGCTCACCTGCGATTACCTGTTTTGAACTCTTTTCAAAGGTTATTCAAGTGTATGTTGCACCACCTCGAGGCTTGTCCAAAGCGTTCCAGCCTCCTCTCTGGTCTCTGCGTGGCTTCAAGCGTGTACCTGTGGCTCCAGGAGCAAAGGCTACTGCGACTTTCTCATTGTCAGCTCTCGAGTAAGTAGTGGCCCCCAGTGACATGGCAATTGCACAAGGAGTGTTGGACAGTAGAACGCCCTCTTTGGAATTGTTTTTCTTCCTGATGATATTTAATTGAAAGTTTCATTGTCCAAATACGTTTGAGGTAGGGTGGAATGTCCAGGAGAGATTCTGTCTAGTCACGAGCATTGGTGGAGCCAAGGGAGCGGTAGATGGGATTGGGGGAGATGATGCAAGAACATGAACAAAGAGTGTATGCTATGGCTTTGAAGCTCTTTGCATACTTTGCTTGTACCTAGACTCGTTCCTTTCCTTGTACGAACTACACTACTCTGCGTTATGAAAGTTATGTTGGATTTACTTTATAAATAATCGAGGCGACGAAGACGGTAGTATTGAAATTAAGAATGTAAACACGCCGCGAGTCATCAGCAGTCACAAAGCAACAGTCGAGATACGATTCAAGCGTTTTCGTTGTGACCACTGATGAGCGCGTTTACATTCTTAATTTCATGTCTTTTAGCCTGATAGTGGGTTGATGGCATCCCGTGGTAGCGGAAAAGTGGTTCTTGACCCGCCCAATATGCGAATCCGTGATATTATTTTCATATATACTTTTTGCATGTCTTTTAGCCTGTCGGTGGTGGATGAGAATGGAATAGATACCGTGTACCCAGGGGTGTATGTGATCTATGGCAGTCCTCATGCCCCTACACCTGCTACCAAGGCGGACATGCAGCAGATGACCCTCACCATCACGGGTACAGCTCCTACACCCGTGTCGCAATGCTCCGGCGCTCCCAGATGCATCGGCTGTAAGGCCACCTTCTAATGGCTTGCCTCGGCGTAGTGCTTTCAGAGGCACGTTGCTCGGGCAGGCAGATCTGATGATCGGCTCTCCCTGGATTTTAGTGTGTAGTTGCGTGATTTTTATTAAATTTGTACTTTGACAAGTAGAAAAATATATGCCAGCATCACATCTTTGGTGACTTCTGCTCTGACTTTGCCAACATGCCTGTGGTGCCTTGGCAGATTCTACTTTCTAGTCTTTGGTTATGTCCTTGTCAGTGTCTTGATTGTGAGCAGGATCTTTTCGTATATGAGCTGACTGCTGGACAGTTATCAGCCAGTCTAATCGTATTGCCCTATCCATTTTCATGCATTGCCACCCTAGTTCCTTCCCCTTGCTGCCAGATTGGTCAGTTTACGAAATATTTCCTTTATAAAGACTCAGTGTGTGTGTTTGTGTGTGTGTGTGTGTGTGTGTGTTGGGGGGGGGGGGGGGGGGGGGGGGAGAGGAGGAGCACACGTACACTCATGTGTGCGTGCGTATGGTAAGCTATGGATTTAGTTTTCATTGAAACTCGCCTAGTACCGTATTAAAATAAACTTTTTAAATGCAATTTCAATGACAGTCATTACATGTATGTAGATGAAAAGACTCTCCATTAGAATGATCTACCATGGCATAGTCCATAGCATACACGTGTACAGACAGTCAGTAGATTTACGCACAGCGGCAGTGCACGTGCTAACACTGGCAGTGACATACCACACCGGCCGTTGACATTAAAGTGTAAAGTGTATAATAATAATAATAATTATACTACTAGTACACTGCACTGGCACATGCACACAAATTCACAATGCGGAGTTGTGATACTGATAGCTAGCTGACAAGCTTCAACCAAGTCATACAAAATATTCTACATAAAAAATTAATGCCTTGTTGGAGGACAGACAAAATTTAAAAAAAGTTGTGTTTGATCACTGCATGCTGGCAGCTAGCTAGCTAGCGGCAAAGTCCATGAAAAAAATTAATGATGAAGACTCGGCCCTGGCCCTCTAGACTAGTCTAGGCTCTACACTACATGAATGATATTGAGACTACTGACTACTGTCTTTTTCAGGGTTTCCTTGCCAGTTTATTATTAGGACTGAAACTCGGAGGGCTTTGCGATAAAGCCCATAGTAACTCATCCGTGATGTCCGGCCCAGCGAAGAAAGAGCTGGACGTTTCCAAATGTCCTGTGTCCGAAGTGGTCGTGTACCTGGACAGAGCTGACGTGACTAGAGAAGTGAAGGTGGAGCTGAGCGTTGGAGAGAATGAAATTGTGGTGAAACAATTGTCAAATGCTATTGACTCCGACTCAATCAGGTAGGCAATACTGCGGGGTCACAAGTTTTACCACGGCCTCGTTACTCGCTAGCACCGCCGCGCGAACAGTCATGATGCCATTTCCGTGCATTGCAATGCTCGTGTCGCACGCCTGCGTGCATCTGAATGATCAACATGATGCAGCTCACCAGGTCAGGTGTGGGTCAGTGTCATTCAGTAGATCGATAGAGTCGAGTCGAGCGACCTGTACTCCCGGTGTCGAGAGGCGGCCTCACATCCCTGTATAGCAACTAACTAAAAACTGACTTGGCCATGTCTAACCTCCTGGGCCCCAACAGGAAGGCGGTACATGCATGCAGTCTAGGCATGCTGGCCGAAATTTAAAAAAAAAGAAAAAAGAAAAATGCTCGCGTGTCATTGTCCGAACACCTCATGACTCCTGTTTGGATAAGTGATCAGCCGCGGGCCCATATCGGTTGGTCGGGCAAGAACTGACCTCGACGACAACCATGCCCCGGTTAAGACCCTCTGCGTTGCACTGTTCACAAGTCACAGTCGTGGCCAAAGAAATCCGACCCCGTGCCGAAAGCAGGGCCAAGGCTCATGCGGCACCCAGACCGTGCATGATGTAATGATGACGTAATGGAAATGCAAACGCAACGCTACTTTAGACTAGTTGATTGGATGTCTTTGCCTGTGACTTTAGTGGGTCTACAACAAGCCGGTACATGTGTGTATCGTCTCTGCATAATTATATCATCAGTGAACTCCAGGTATCGGTTCACATCCTGTCCTGTGCCTCCCGACCTGTTTTCTTCGTCTTTTGTTTGGCCAAACATGGGTCTGGCAGTTGCCAGACCGGCTTCTACGGCCCTGGTGATTGATTCGGGGGAAAAAAACTTGAGCTCGCGGTTTTCCTGCCGACTTGAATTCTCACTTGACTGACTCACGACTGCCACGCAGAGCACACGAGATGTCCATCGAACTGTCCACTCGGCAAACATGCAAGAAAGCACCACTCCCTGCTCAATACACAGTGTTTTGGGGAATTCACCCCTCATCAGTTGAGCTTGAGTAGGCTGAGGAAGATTGTGCCTGAAGAGCACCACTTATATAGTGCTCTCCAGGCACAACAAAAAACTGTTATATTTTCCAAAGCACAGGGTATGTGTATAATTATGCAGCACGTTTGTAGCCGCCAACCCTATACCAGTATACGCGATACTCATTGTGTCGTTGTGTTGGCAGTCCAACTCCCGGCTTCACTCAAGCAGGTTGAATGCTTGCTCTGGTCTGCACAATATCGAATATTTGATGAGGGAATCTCCACAGCTAATGTGTTGCACATGCTCCCGGCTGCTTTGGTTTTGCCCGCTCCTCAGGGTTGAAGGCCGTGGGTGTGCCACGATCGGTGAGGTCAAGTACCAGCAGAAGCAGGTGGCGACGGAGGAAGATGGTCCCGACAAGGTCACATCCACGGCGATGACCGCCACCAAGGAGCTTGAGCGTGAACGCGATCGGCTGACTGACACACTCAGCCGTGTCCGATATGCCAAGAAACGTGTTAAGAAGCAGCGGAAAATCCTGGAGGAGTTGGCGTCGCAAGATAAAGCCGCTGTCCACCCTGCTGCAAAGGCGTTACCGTTATACGGCAAAGGGAAGGCTCAGGACCCGTTTGCCAAAAAGAAGGTAGCCATTGAGACTTTTCCGAAGTTGGACGTGACAAAGAATAGCTCGTCTGCAGCCGAGAAACGGGCAAGTGAAAATGCGTTAGTTTTACAACTTGATAGTTTGGTACGATTGTATTACGGACTGCCTATGCATGCCTGGACCCTGCATTTACCTGCTTTAGTGATATAGCGAGAGGGCTAGTGGAATAAAAACTGAAAATTAAAGTTGATGGACATGCCGTTGGTTGGCCGCTCTCGTTGTGTCAATGAACGAGAGGGCTTGAAAGCCCGTTAGTTTTCCCACGTAATAGTGTGGAACGATTGTAAATTTGTAATACGGACTACCTGTGCATGCCTGGACCCTGCAGTTATCTGCTTAGTGGTGTATTAAAATGCTAAAAATAAAAGTTTGAAATCTTTATTCTCACGTTGATGGACATGCCGTTGATTGGCCTCTCTCCTTGTGTCAATAACTAGAATTCGTTTTCTTGGACCAAGAGTGGTACAAAGCAACAGAGGTTATGGGTTTTATAGTACTTTTCCAGACCTAAGTTATTCTGAAAAACATCGTAGGTGGATACAAAAAATGGAGGGTTCTGGGCAGTGGCTTTCTTCTTGATGAAAGCCCTTCAGGAAATGATGCGTGCTCGTCATCTCGATTTTCTCTTTCCAGGCTTCTCTTCCAACAATGCTGGAGATGATGAGCGAGTCGACTCTTGGAAAAGTCGTATCCTTCATGGAGTTCTATTCAACGCGGACACGGGAGCTGGACGAAAGGCTGAGTGCTTTTCGGAAGGAGCGAGATGAACTCAAGAGACAGATTCAAGCCGTTGAGGAGAACTTACTCCTGCGAGGGAGCAGTTACAAGACATCGCCAACAGGCACCACAACAAATCGGTAAATACAGTCAACTTCGCTAATAACGACTGCGGATATAACGACAATTCGCGAATAACGGCAAAATCCCCATGCCCAGAGCAATGTCCCATCTAACCTGTATACATACAATGAAACTTCGGGTATACGGACACTTCAAGTTGCGAATAAGGACACTTTTCTGATGCCCGCCAAGTGTTATTATACTCCTAGTCGACTGTACACTGTACAGTGCGCAGGAGATACCTTTGCGGATTTGAGATTAGCAGACTATGCGTGTGCCGAGTGGGAGTGGAAGGTCAGCATGAGTGCATGCACGTTTCATAGTATACAGCATTGAAACTCTGGTCAAGTTACACTCTGGTCATTATCATTTTCTCGATGTTGACGTCCTTGCTGAATTTGTTGCGTGCCTTGCATAGTGGCAGGCACATTAGATCCCTGACTTTCATTGCTAAGTGTCTTTGTCGTTGCGGGTGATTTTGTCACATTTTCCGGTTGCAGGAGTGTCTCTATAAGCGTCACCACTGATAAAGCCTGCACTGTGTCTCTGCTGGTATCCTATGTTGTGATGGATGCTGGATGGCAGCCACAGTACGACTTGAGAGTCTTCAGCAAGGACCATTTGCTCAAGGTGACGATCACTTTCACTTCATTGCACACGAGCCAATATGCGTTGTGAAATTTTGTAGGGCCAGGGGTTTGAGAAGCCTATCGGCCATACTTTAACTGGATTTTATTTGTATTCTTATGTCTTCTGCAAACTATTTGGTTACCTTTTTGGTGCACAAAAGCAATGCCATTCGTCAATTTCTCTAAAAGAACGTGTTGATTCTTTGCCGTCTCTGCTCTTTGCACAGATACACTACTTTGCTATTATCTCTCAGAGCACCGGTGAGGATTGGGAAGATGCCACGCTTGTGCTGTCCACTGCACAGCCCAGTATCGGCGGTAGTCCCCCGGAGCTGGGGACGAAGAAACTCTCCTTTTTCCGATCTCCAGAAAGCAATAGAGAAAAAATGTCATCGGCTCCTGTTGTAATGTCAAGTGCAATGAGATCAACGTCAAGTAGAGTTAGATCAGCACCATATGCAGATGTGTCATTGGAGTCTATCCGCCGTGGTTATGCTCTTGGGGATGATGAGGAGGATGACGATTGGAGTGGTGATTTTTACAGTGCACCTCCTCCACCTCCTCCTGATCTTGGAGTGCGAACAGCCGAGGTAAGTCTAGAGATCAGCATCCGATTGGTTTGTCGGTGCGATTGAAATGGTGTAGGCCATTGGAGATGTGTGGTGGGTTGATGCCACGGTCGTATGGCCCGGAGTATATCAAGTAGCTGATTAACATTTTACTGAGGGAGTCAAGGAAAGCCTGGACGGGATAGCTGTGTGTCCATCTCAGTTACGGCAGCGTTGTTCTACAAGCGTGATGTACCCATAAATTTACTTTAAAAACAGAAGTAACTTCAAACCTGCCATGTGGTCTGGCACTAAGTCACTTAGTCTTTTTAATCGACGGACATGGTCATTCACTGGTGAAATGCAATTCTCAGGAAAGCTTAAAAACACCTTTTTACCTTGGCTTTGCCAGCCTCGCCACCTGGATGGTTTTAAGTGCTGATTTGATTCAGTGAGGCTATAGTTATATTCGATAGGGTGAAGTATGCTACGTGTCATGCATGGTGTCCAAAGCTTTACATGACGTGTGCGTGGATGCGACGAAAAATTGTCTCTCAGGCATGCACAATTGTGTGCGGGCTATTTGAGTTGGCTTGGAATGGTGTTTGACTATACACCAATTCTTGTATGCACTCTTTTCAGGTGAAGGGAACGGTGACCAGCACGGCATTTGAAATCCCACGCAGGACAACGATTCCTGCAGACAAGACAGGGCACAAGGTAGGAATGAGAAAATTGAGTCACACAAGTTTTTCGACTCTGGAAAGATCATCTATTAGTGAAATGTACTGTGTTCTAGAGAAGGACAACAGTGCTGGTACACATTTTTTGCATGGGCATGTATGGCACTCATGCCTGGACGCCGCAGTGCCGTATGGAGGTATTGAGGTGGTGCGGGATTCCTCTATCATGAGATTCTCTATAGACGGCCAGTGTATTCGTTTGCAACTTGTCCAGTCATCCAACAAAGCCCCATTCCCAGAAAAGATACTTTTGACAGCACTGTGATGTTGCTACTTCTAAGGTAGCTCGGGCTTATATCGCGAAAAATATCGGAGGTCCAAAACCATTTTCTGTCCGATTCTGTTCAATTTTCAGGGTTGAAGCATCATGAGGGCAAGCTGTTAATCCCAAATGTGGCTAGTGTGTTTTGAATAGTTCTCTATATTTGGGGCCTGTGAAAGCGACACCCATACGTTTGCATTTATGTCGCGAAATAAGAGAAATACCTACTTTTACAAACAGGCATTTCGGCCCGCGGCATGAGCTAATTAATATAAAAATAGAATGGAAGTGATTTTATCAATGCGATTAATAGTATTAGTGAAGCGGACATTACAAAATGATGAATGAGAATACATGTATCTAAAATGGTTGTTCCTAATCGATTTTCTTGAGACTATCATCAGGGAAAATCGTCTCACAATAGAGGCTATACGGAGAAACAAACTACTTATAGGTTATTGGATAGTGGGAAGTATACAAGGTGAGGTGTGAAAAAACTAAAGTGGGAGAGAAGACGAAAGAAATTAGAAGAAAAGATGTGAGAGTGTTCCCGACGGTGTGAGCTACTACATAAGGTGAGTGAAATGAAGGCGTGGAAGCAGGTGAATGTGATAGAGTGAGGAACTGTGAGGTGTAGGTGTATGCGAATGAATACGTGTGTGAATGCTAGGTGAAGAGTCTCAGTTTTGTGACATTTTCTTTCTGAATGCATAGATTAGGATTGTGTTTACGGATGAAAACAGCTTCTAATACCTTAAGTTCACGAAACCTACGGAAGTGATTTTGGTTCAGAAATTTCTTGAAACAATTGTTGAGATGAGGTCTTTGTCAAGCAAAGTAATGGCGCAAAATGCAAGAATATGTCCAGTGCATTGCATAATATATGTGCAATTAAAAAAAAAGAGTAAATTATCGTGTCCGTTCCCGAAGGGAACTCACAACGGCCACTAACACCCGGTAAACCCTAGCGGCAGAATGTGCAATTTTACCAACTGTTAAAATGGCCGCACATGCTCCTGTCGGAGCGCTAGGAACTCTGTCCAAAGCGAATTTTGATCATGGCACATCTATCGTGGTGAGGACCTAGTGTTTATATTAGTCTGCCAAGGCAGTGAAATGCAAAATTCCATACTCCGTTTCCATGGTTACCATGGGCTGTTGCCATGGGATTTCGTAGTATGCCTTGTGTGATCAAGTCGAAAATTTGTGAACTCCTTCATTAGCCCCTTAGCAACAGTTTAGAGTCAAGTTCTAGGTCAAAATTAGAACAGAGGCGTGCAGCATGTCTGCGTATGATGGTCCTAGCGGTAGGTCTTACCGGCAGGACCGAGGTCTATGCAAGGCATTGCAAGCTATCATTACAAATTTAAAGTACATGTACATATTTCACAAAAGCCGGCTGTCTCTGTTCTCTTCTGCCTTTGTGGTAATACTCTATCCCTGTGGTGTTGAGCACTCTAGGTAATCTGGGAACTCTCACTATTGTTAAGTACATCTTTCCGTAGTGACCAAGTTTGTATTTGTCAAATGCCTGCATTTTTTAGGTTTCTGTTGCAATCATCGATCTGGAGCCAAAGTTTGATTACGAGACCGTACCAAAGGTGCAGGCTCATGCGTTCCTAAAAGCCCAGGTGAAGAACTCATCGCAATATGCTTTGTTGAAGGGACCTGCTAACGTCTTCTTGGACAACAACTTCATTTCGAAGGTAAGGCACCGGGGGCAACGTAACTGCAAGCAGTGTAGTATCTGCAACTTCCAAAAGCAGAAGATAGAGAGACAGAGACAGCGAGTCACACCGTGACAGAGACAGAGATACTGAGAAAGATAGATGAGAGAAGGGGAGTTCTTGACTCTGGGATGAACACAACAAGAGAACAGCCAAAATACACATTTTCACCTTATAAAAGGTTTTGAGATGACATCTTTGGAGTCATTTTTAGGAACAAAATTAACGCTCAGCCTCTATCATGACATCGAGATTGCTGGCAGGAAACTAGAGCAGTCTCATAGCTCATTGTACAGTCCATCTACAATCTCTGACTTGAGACAATGGCGAATTGGGATATTGCATTGTACATGTAAATCCTGGTCTTCATATTTTTCTCAGACATCTCTGTCCAACGTCAGTCCTTATGAAGACTTCACCTGCTCTCTCGGCGTGGATCCTGCTATTCGAGTTCTCTACAAGCCAGTCAGACGCTTCAAGGAAAATACAGGTTGGCAAGCGGAAATTTTCGGTGCTCAATATTTTCGGTATGAGGGCAACATGCTAGGTTAGGTGAACAGAAATTTTCGGTACAGAGAAACAGTTCCCTATTGTATTATGTGTGTTAGTGTTTGTTCTGTGTATTGAAATTTTAGGTATGAAACAGACGCACCGAAAGTACCGAAAATAAAAGTACACCGAAAATTTGTGAAATTACAGTATTTGATTTATCTGCATTCCCGCCTTTGGAGTCTACTCTATTCTTTGTCGAGTATAGCAATTTTAAGTAGTACGGGCGCAGTCTTTTGCATGTTGAGTTAAATGTGCATTTTGATGACAGTGATGTGTATTGGTTCGAATGCCGTGCAACTTCCTCCTCGCTGCCCGCTGTAAAGGTAACCTTCTCAGCCGCCAGGGGAAGGCATTTCGAAGTACTCGGTGCAGCTTGTGCAAAATAAGTGTCGACGGTGAGCGCTTCAGCTTGTGTTGGCAGCCAGTACCGGCGCTATCAATGATAATTTTCAAATATACTTTGAAGTACGTGTGGGAGTGCGGTTCCATGATTCTGTGTTCATTCCACGGTCTACTTCAGTATGTTTGTACTTCCGCTTCCACTCGGTGCAGGTATTCTGAGCAAGTACACGCTGGCTACGCGAAAACAAGCAATCGAGATCAAGAACACCAGACTGGACGTCATCAGAATCAAGCTGACTGATACGGTGCCGAGATCTGTTGAGGAGAAAATCAAGGTACGCCTTGGCCTTGCACTAGTCTTGAGCCTTTGGGTTAATTAAAACAGCTCTAGAAAAGCACGGGTCTCCAGAATACTGTGATAGGGTGGTCATCGCTTGATGTTCTTTAAAAAAATTCTTTTTATCCCTTGGGGCTGTTCGTACATGTAAATACTGACGTATTTTAGTAACAATCCTGGCTTGTTGCTTGTCTACTGGTATCTCTGAAATAAGAAAACTATATTCTATGTAGGGGGGGGGGGGGTGCGAATTAATCATATTAAGTTCGGGAAATGGTGTTAACCCTTTATGTACTGATTTCCAGCACAGAATGAAGCAGAATTTGAATTTTCAGCAAATTTTTCACCTTCAACAGGCTTTGACCTCCTTCACTGCATTTCCACAGTCTTGGGCTCTTTGGAAAGCTCCTGGCGAGAGTAACGCCAGGATACCAGGCTCCATCAACTAGCTGCCACAAATCAGGCGCAGGAACACAGCAAGTCGTCCCCAAGCCCAATATGCGATCAAATTTCCCCGTCAACGCCATTCCACTCTCCTTTATCGCAGAACGCTCAAATCTTTTCGAGGCGATTCAAACTTCAGCCAACTACGTCACTATCATGTGCTGAGTTGGTCAAAGAGCACACGAAAAGGGATTTTCCCCTAAAATGGCGAAGAGATCGATAAAAATTTGAATTTGCTGAGACAAGAATACGGCGCGCGATATCTCTGGATTCGTACATCGTAGCTCTTCAGCGATTGTTGCATTGGAAAGCTTGGAGTTCCCGCTACCAAATAGACCCTTCGATTGTTGAATTCGGCCAAGGAATGATGGAGTTACGAAGGTTTACGGACCAATCATGAATCGATCATATGTGATCGATTCACGTACACACTGTACATAAAGGGTTAAAACAGACTGCTGGTCACAGCAATCTACCATTATTAAGTCTTGCTTTCTTCATATTGTCTGGTAGGATGACATTCCCAGTGGGTATCAGAACTTTTGTTCCCCTTCTGAGTGGAATTTATTCTACAGTATGTGGTTTTAGTTGCCACGGTACTTGTTGACGAAGATGCCTACGCTCTCGGTCACACAGCCCATTCAGAGGTATTATTTGACTGTGTAGAACTCAGTCAACTCTCAACCGCAGCGGCACGCATTTCCGGTTCGGAGCTGAAACTCTGGAAATATGAGGATCTACCGTATCATCTCCATTATAAGCCCCGGGCTTATATTTTCCAACCAGTCCGGACCCTGGGCTTATATTAAAGACTGGGTTTATCCTTTTTCATCCATCTGGTACATGATTTTGCATGTACCAGCATTGGTTCATATTCATTGTTATACCACTAGCACAAAGTAAGTTTCCGACCAGGTACCATGAATGGCAGTTTTGTACTTTCTGGTGTACTGAGTCTGTACTTTTTATCACGGGGATCACGGACATGCGCCACAATGTGTGTATGCGATACTGTACGTTGTCGAACATGCATGGACATGATCCGTGCAGTTCTCCATAAGCCCTGCGCTCGTATTGGAGGCCGGGCTTGTATATCTTCGAAGCCCTCTTGGAGTGTGCTTATGGTAGAGACTGGGCTTGTAATAGAGATCATACAGCATTTGTGTTATCTTTCTGGTGTACTCTTCTTGCTTTTGTGCTGTGCAGGTGAACTTGGTGAAGCCGGAAGTTACGCCGAAAGAACCAGTTCGATCCGTTGCCGCTGGCACCGTGAAGCTTACGAAAGAAAATCTCCTTGAGTGGCAGTTGGAGATTCCAGCTAGCTCTCAGCATACTGTGGAGTTTTCGTTCACTGTTGAGCACCCTGCGCAGGAGACAGTCACGGGTTTGTAGACTGTGACTATCGTTCAAGAAGAACCAGTCATGTATGCCTACTAGTACTACTAACCTCCCTCCACTGAAGTAGTAAATATTTGACGTAAAAGTCGAACTTTTATTACTTGCCGTGTGGTCGATCTGCACTGGAGCATTGAACGAACTGCTTGAATTTAGTACTAGCAATTGGTCTCCCAAACATCTTGTAGTGTGGCCCCGTGGCGCCTTTTCAGAATATCACCTGTCTACAGTGGCATGTTCATGGCGTTTCTAATTCTTACCTGGGCCTGTCTTCAGTTCCCGGCAACACGGCTTGTGTTGCGTACTCAATACTCATACGTTGTGTGCGCAGCAGGGCAAACTTACAACCCTGGCATTCCACAAAGTTTCTCAAATGGCGATGGCTTATTGAGTTTATTACAATCCTTACAAAAACTTCGTTTTTACCATCCTTTAATTAATAGGCAGACTTTACTCACTTAGAGATACTTGTAGCAGGTGTTTATCATATATCATAATAATTATTATGGTTTTGTCTAATGGTTATCATTAAATTTTTAGTCTATTGTCGTTTCAACAGCTGTGTCTATTCACTGGAGACTCTCTGTAATATCTCTGATGACTGCGTTTTGATTCCCAGGGGATGTTTTGCGCGGGTGCAGTTTTATTATTGCGTTGAATAATTTCCGGCTTGGTGTGATTCTAATGTTTCCAACAAGCAGTGGATGTTTACGGTGAGGGAGTTGCGCGCAGTGTGCCGGTTCGCGGTACCATGTCATGCATTGTATTTCCTGGCATGCCAGCCTCATCAGCACTGGAGCAAGTCCCCGCCCGCCCTGTGTTTATTAGTCTTGTTTTGATCTCCTTGTCTATGCCTATGGAGCTACAGCCGACCCTACTTATAACGAACTTGCATAGCGAATTTCGTGTGAGTGCATTTCTGCTATAACGAACGTCGGCTATAAAGCACAATGGTGTTCGTTTTATCAGGAGTCGACTGTTCACCTGACTTTCGCGATAGGATTTGCGACTAGCAGATACTGGTAATCTGCACTAAATCCCCACCAAAATGAGGCGGACATATCTTTCTTGGAACCCATGGCGTTACGGAGCAAACTGGATAGAACGGAGATAAGAATCGAACGGTAACAGTTCACTTTCATCTAGCAGTGTTGCTCACTCGCCGGTGCTGTACTCGGCCCTGGACGCTTGCCTATTGCCGTGTTTTTGGCGACGCAGTGCGAGATGACTATTACAACAGTGGAGGTGGACGTTGCCAAATGTCCTGTGTCCGAAGTGGTCGTGTACCTGGACAGAGCTGACGTGACTAGAGAAGTGAAGGTGGAGCTGAGCGTTGGAGAGAATGAAATTGTCGTCAAACAATTGTCCAGTGCGGTAGACTCTGACTCCATTAGGTATGACATTTCGTGAAACAGTTACAATAATACTAAAAGTCTTTATTTCAGGATTTCAGAAAGGCCATCGCCTCTCGAGGGGGGGGGGGGGGGGGAGGGGTAGGGGTTTCCAGATTATCTTTTTGAATAAGGCCGCACCGAATAAGTCTTTGGTTTCGGGTAACCCACAGCCAATTTCCACGCGTCAGACGCAGCAGCGTCTGACGCTCATATTTCCCGCATTTTCGTCGGTTGCTATGGAAAACCCATGATTCTGATGCTGATGCAGCATTTTGCCGTAGTGTGACCGAGGCCTAACCCGTCCGTTAAGAGAATTACCTGTTTTTTAGTTAAAGGTACACACTGTTTGACCCCTAGGAAAAACACTGCGCAATACGGAAAATCAGAATTCGCAGTACGCAAAACAGACCCAGTTGACTGGCAGCACTGCCAGATGACAAGCACGTGATCTGAAAAGTATACAATTCTTCCTCGTTAAGCCGGATACGCACTCCTGACTGTACATGTAGTCCAGTTATCCCAGATACGTTGTGCATACAATCAGATACGTTGTGCATACAATGCATGTACGTTGTGCATACAATCAGATACGTTGTGCATACAATGCATGTACGAATACAGTGTCCGCAGTGGCAATTTAAAAAAATTGAAGGATGAAATACATATGTGCGAATCTCTTTACGTTAGATTTGATATGCACACCAATTACCCAACATCAGTACAATTTGTTCTGCATTGAGGCTTTGTGCAGTAAAATGTAACTGTGTTGGGCGGTCCTTCCTCCAGCATTACCTTCATCCATGTCGTGAGCCCCATACCCGAACAGCATATTCCCTCACACTGCAGGACGCAAGTGTCCGAGTATGCTACGAGAATGTCTCGTAACTCTCTCGATGTCTAGAAAAGCACGGAAAGTTTTAGCAGGACTACATTGGCTTTCTGGGTAGTGCAATATGCTGGGCCCGGGTGTAATATTACAAGTGCTTTGATTTTCCTCGTCACGGTTGTACATTGATGGCAATTTGCCTTGAGTGTTCAGGGAGAACATTATGGCAAGGCAATGATTGTCTGATTGCCCAGTACTAGTGGTGAGGGTTACAGCGGTACACAAGGAGTGCTGATGGGGCTCCCCGGAGCTTTATTTTTTAACAGTAGAGAATAATGTCTACAGCATTGGGAATCTTTCAGTATGAATTCCTCTCTCTCTCTCTATCTTTCTCTCTCTCTTGTCCACATTTTTGTTATTGCAATCTGTGTAGAGTGGAAGGCCGTGGGTGTGCAACCATCGGAGAAGTGAAGTTCCAGGAGAAGACCGTCCCGAAAGAAGAGGATGCGCCCAACAAAGACGTTACGAGTGCCTCGCAGACTACAACTTCCGAACTGGAAAAGGAGAGGGACCGACTGAAACAAGAAGGTGAAAGATTGTCAGCCTTATCAAAAAGACTGGGCAGGCAACAAAAATTCCTCGACGCCTTGATGAAGAAGGCCGGCGAATCCGAAAATGTCACATCTGCTACGGCCACTTCCACACATGTGAGTATATGGATGAATTTTGCCAAAGTCGAGCGTAATTCTTAGTACAAATTGTCATGCACTGTTTGCTAGTATTTTTTAAAGTTACTATCCTGCATCATCACCTTCACTCTTTCCACGCTGCAATTCACACTGTGCATGCTTGTGTGCATATGTGTGTGCTTACGTGAAGTAGAGGGCGAGTATGGAGCGTGTGTAGTGGTGAATGTTATCACCTGTAGTTGTGATATTCATTTCCCACCATGCATCTTACTCGCACAATACAGTAGCAAGACCAATACAGTGATACTAGAAGCATTATTCTCCACCTGATTAGTCTGCGCTGTGTTATACCACCTACAGCCACATACGTTATCACCTACTTTCCCGGCTGCAATACATAAAGCAGCCTACCTCTCTGTTGGCTGCTAATGTTAGAATTGTTTGCCAGAGGATCACGTAGCTGGTGAAATTTGACCACTTTGGAAGCAAAACATCATTCTACCTTCTTTGCAAGGCACTGCTATCGTCTGTGGCATAGTGCCACTGGCGTATCGAGCACTGTCACGGTGAATAGAGGAGGACTTCTACTCCTCCTGTGTGGATTAGACTCGTACATGTAACGGTTTTGGTGCTGCTTCGAAAGTACCGTATTTCCCCGTAAGTTAGTTCTCCCCAATGACTTAGTACCCCCTATAAAAAATACACTTTCCACTGCCGAGGTTATCACCCCGAAAGAGAGTTCCCGCCGAAAGATAGTAAGTTCGCACCCGTCCTACATGTACAGACACCGTACAGTACATACATCATATGCACAGACACTAGAGTTGCGCAGGCTTCCCACTGCGTGTCATTTACCCCCGATAAAAAAGTACTCCCCGAAAGATAGTACCACCCCCAAAAGTTAATACTCATGTGGCTGCTAAGTTCGAAAGTTGGTACGTACTAACTTACGGGGAAATACGGTAGTGACTTTCCGCAGTATTAAAAAATGAAGCTGGTTTTGCGTAGGAGAAAAAAACTAGTCTTGGTCGTGCCAAGCTTTCTGTGTGTCAAAATGAATGGTGATACTGAAGAGAGTAAAATAATTGAGTGCAGTCCCACATTGACTTCATGAAACAGTATGCAGAGGTTTCAGTGACTTAGTTGCTCATGAAGTGCTTATGACGCGGATCATTGTCTGGTTTTGTCTATTTTCCTGTGCGATTAGCCAACATCTGTCTTAGATCAGTTGAACGAGAAAGGCTTCCGACGCGTCACAGCTTTTATGGAGTTCTATTCTACACAGAGCCATGACCTGGACGAGAAGGTCTCAGCTGTCAACAAGGAAGAGCTTAAATTGCGGAACCAGCTTAAAGCGGTCATCGACAATCTTGCACTGAGGGGAGTTTCAAAGAAGGCGCAGACAAAGCCTCTGACGGTGAAACAACGGTATGACGCACTCCATGGGCACATTGCAATCAGCCTGGCTCATTCAAACATCACATGCGTGAAAGTCTAGCCTTTTCAAAGAGCCATTTCTGGAGATGATAGCAACTGATAGCTGATGTCATGGCTGTAGCTCCTTGGTACATTTGCTATTCAATTGGGAATTTCCTGCTCACTGGCAACATGATTTCTCTCCTCTATTTCTGACGTTTTCCAGGAGGGTGACAATTAATGTGACATGTGAGAAGGCATCGGCTGTGTCCCTGTTCCTGTCCTATGTGGTCATGGAGGCCGGATGGCAGCCCCAGTATGATCTGCGAGTGTTCAGCAAGGACCGATTGCTGAAGGTAGGACGGTGTATGGTGTCTCTGATTTCCAACCCGCCCGTTACTCGTGTCCGGCTTAGAAATTATACTAAGTCGAACACGAGTAATGGGTTAAAAGAACGTGAAATTTCGACACTCTGGAAGCAGTCCGATCCTTCCACTCGCTGCATAGAGCATGCAGTATAGTAAGTGGACGTTTATTGTGCTATTTCCTGTACCAGTTTACTGATATTTTTCTTGACCATTGTGTTTTTCGCCATAGTGATGCTCATTTTAATGATATCCCATCCGGCCTTGCCCACTTCCTTCCTGATGATGGTTATCTTCATGACCAAAATCATTAAAAAACATGTTTCCTGAAATGAATTTGTGAAGTCACGCAGTGATTGAGTGTGAACCCTAGTCGCTCACAACCCCGGTTCCTTGTGAAAACTGCAGAATTGTTTGTGCCCATCATTTTCACACTCATGAACAGTGAGACGTATGACCTGCTGCAAGGTTATGCCGGTCCAGCATATCACAGTGTTCACTACGTGTGTCGTTCTGAAGCACCGGGTACGCCTTTAGGATACCTCCCTGTCGAAGCTTTCGGAAATGAAACTTGTCCTGTGTGGGTCATATTTGGTTGTGTTGTAGATTCACTACTTTGCACTGATATCTCAAAGCACTGGAGAGGACTGGGAAGATGCAGCGCTAGTGCTGTCCACAGCTCAGCCAAGCATTGGAGGAAGTCCACCAGAGCTGGAGACCAAGAAGCTTGAATTTGCTCGAAGAGTTCAGGAAAGGCGCTATCGAACGCCTGCAAGCTCACGACTGGCTGAATTACAACAGCAAATTGATGACGTGCAACAGATTGCAATGGAAGACATGGACATGCTTGTAGAGCAAAGCGAGCTACTTGACTCTCTCGCGGACACTGGACTCGGATTCGGCGACGAGAGTTCTGGGCGAGCCCTTGCTCAGCTGGATGTGCAAACTGCAGAGGTATGTTGGCGCACAAGTATCAAGTGCCTGAACGAGGTCATCTGCTGGTAGCGTTACAAGCAATCATATACAATGCTTCAGGTTTTGTACTTTGACAGTGTGCGGGCAATCAGTGTGCTGTGTTTGCAGAGTATTTTACTAAATTGGATGATGTGCATATCTTGCACATGCGTACATCAGTCACCTGGTCACAACTCACAGCCTGTTTGGGCGTGCGCCTGTCTCTCGAGTTGAACCTTGGTATGAAAGTTGTAGCCTGCAGGCACGGTGACCAGGTGACTGGTGTACGCATGGGCGCTTGACCGCTTACTCGACCATGTTTGATTGGGAATAAGAGCCGAACGCTGCACCACAGCCTTCTTGGACCAAAACCAGTCGACTCAGCGTCCAAAAGACTACAACATACGGGCCAGTCCCGGTCATCCGTGCTTTTATAATAACGAAATGGCACTTTAAGTGACATTTTTCATACAAATCCCCGTCTAGTAGGGTGCAGTCACCCAGTTTCGGTGGAAGTGGCGAGTTCGATTGGGAATAAAGGAGGAAGGGAGCGTCTCAGCTTCCTCCGATCAAGACCATTGACTCAGCACCCCGAAGACTACGACGGGTGAAAATTTCGGTTTTAGGCTATACTTTCCCTTTTAAATTATATCCGTAGGCGGCATTTCACTAGGATACAATTAAAGGTGACCCGCTGTTTCTGGAAACTTCAAATTCGGCCAAATTTAATACTAGCACATGGCATGGTTATGTGGTTCACAGCCGAGTCACCCTGCGAGGATGACTTGTACACAGCCATGCACTGCTGCCAGGAAATCATTCCTAGGGGTGTTAGCGTGGGCATTCCATATTTGGCAGTGCACACTGGGTACGATATTGATGGTATGTTAGAAATACTGTATTGATATGCTTCTCTTTGTTGCCCAGTGCCCATGGGTGTTGCTCAGTCCGAGGCTGTGTTTGACTGATGTTCTCTAACTTAGGTTGGTGGCACCGTAACCAGTACGTCGTTTGAGATTCCTCGCCAAACAACAATCCCAGCCGATGGCACTGGACACAAGGCAAGTGATTAACTCAAGACACTTCGCTTTTATACCAGCAATAAATAGAATAGTCGCTGTTAAAAAAACAAATCCGTTGATACCCGAGCTGCAGAGAGTGCTCAATGTCAGAGACAGAGCTTAGTACATAGCAGACGACAACCAACCTGAACGTCCTCCGCTGAGTCTGCTATGAATAGTCGCTGTTATATAATTGTTATCTCCGCTCCGCCTTTTTTGTGCACTTTGCTTTGATCCACATTCCGGACTTGGCGTGCGGACCAGCTGTGGTCACGGCTGAGCCATGGGTAGTGCAGCTCAACACAGCCGTAGAGGATATGGGCAAAATGCCTGTGCACAACGAAGCCAAGGTGACAAAATTGACACAGATATTTATACCTAATACAAAATTGGGCTAAAGATACGAATCTTACGGTTCGCGTGCGACTCAGTACGGCTGAACTGTCCGTCCCCGTAGGACTTGAAGGCCCTCACCGTTGAGGATTACGGACACGTGTGCCAAAAGAGCCTCGGGCCGACCTCGTGAAGATCACAGCCAACACAGGCTAGCCAAGCCCTATACTACCTAAAGTAGATATGTTAGCAAATGGAAAAAGCAGATGAGTACTGATTTACTGCATGGAGACGCTCTTGATAATCAGTGGGCAGCCCATTCAGAAATTGATGATGCTCTTTGTTTTTACCCAAATGGGGGAATGATTGACCTTCTTCAAAGTAGTTTTCCTGTGTAGTATAGAATGGTCTTACAATGATGTGGTGATATCTATATCTTCAAAAGCTGGACCATAGCGAAGATGTTTTTTGGCCGGGTTTGGAGTAGTTCGGCCGAATTTAGCATTGATCAGTGTGCAGACGTGCTGGTCCAGATCCCATTTCCGACCGAATTAGAATTGGTTCGTTGGCCCAATACTGCCTGAATCGGAAATAAATGGGGCTAGAGATCATATTCAGAATGAAGGAAATGTAGGCATGATAAAAAAATGCTACTCACAAGACTTCATGCATAATCATCGGAGACAAAACTGTCACAAAAGGGCAAGTATAGAAAGACATGTTGGCTGCGGATAAGTTGTACATAATGTGTACGTGCTTCTGTCCTTGTGGTTATTCGTTCCTCAGCTAGGCGGAAGGTGTGACGTAATGTGTCTGGTGTAGCGAAGATCCACTACCCTCTAGAGGAACATTGTGTATGTGAGAGCCTGGGTATGATGTTAGCCTGGGTATGATGTTAGCCTGGGTATGATGTTTGTGTATACATGTGCCACGTAGCCACTGCCAGCCTCACTCACGTGAGAGTGGCCAAGAGGCGTAGGTGCCGTGCCAGAATAGCGAGGGCCCTGAATGCGGCATGCTCTTTTGTTTGTATTTATTTCAACATCTGTGTACGTTCCGCGATGTCTACACAGGTAGCAGTTGGTATCATTGACCTGCAGCCCGAGTTTGAATATGAGACTGTGCCCAAGCAGGCAGCTCATGCATTCCTGAAGGCTCAAGTCAAGAATTCTTCACAGTACTCACTGCTTCAGGGTCCAGCAAATGTTTTCATGGACAACAACTTCATATCCAAGGTATTGTGTGGAGTGACTACATGATTTTGCACGGGGGTTGCATTTCTATGCCCTGGTCTTAGGCCGTTACGCTACACAAGTGAAATGAATATGTTGCAGATTTCTGTTCGACTATGATTTACGCATGTTGTCGTATTTGGTTCTTGTCTGGTGGAGTCCAGTGTCTGATGTCATATATGGTCTAGGTGTACGCGCGAGTATGGTGTGATGTGTGACGTTTATGGTATGTGGTGCATGCAAGAGTACGCGTTGTCAGAGTGTGAGGATGTGCTTCCGTCTGTGTGAGAGTGACTGTCAAGTGAATGCTGTACATGCGCAGTGCTAGTTTGGTCTGGGAATGAGAGTCGTGTGTGATTCGTCCGTGGTCTGGTTGTCTTCGTCTGGTTGTCTTGGTCTTGGTCATGTGTTCTGTACGTATTAGTCCCTGATTGGTCGTCACGATTTGTCCTCGGTTTATTACTGCTTGTTCTTTGTTGTTTCTTTGAGTCTTTTCCCGGGTGTCTTTTCCCGTCGTCGTTTTCTGTCTAGTCTTTTCGTCTTTCTCCTCCTGTGCCCTCGCCGTTTATTATTGAGAAGTGAATACTAGTATTGAAGCTAGCTGAATGGTGCGTTGTTGAGTGACCGGGGCCAGGGGGAGAAGGCAATACTATTTCCTCCTCAAATAGTTAGTAACTAGACTGGCTGGTGTTGTCCCATGTGCGTGCGTGCTGTGGGAGCTCCGAGAATTAACATGCTCTCCTATGCCCTTGTTACGTTTCCAAATTGCTTCTAAAAGATAATTATTTGATTTGTGATGTGCTGAACAAAAACGATTTGTAGAGACTTAGATAGTACAAGGCATGATCGCGTGCTGACTCTAAAAAGTCATGATTGTGTATGTGCTTTTGTACAGACATCGTTAGATGATGTTAGTCCCGCTGAGGAATTCTTATGTTCTCTCGGAGTAGATCCAGCAATCAGAGTAATTTACAAGCCTCTCAAGAAGTTCAGGGAAACCACAGGTATGCTTAACAGTGGAAAAGATGCTGGTACAGAAAACCTTTATATCTGAAATCGAATGGCTCAGATGGTTAGAGCATAGCTCATGACAAGCAAGGTCCCGGGTTCGAGTCCTGGTGGGTCTGGCATTTTTTCTCTTTTCGGGCAGTTCACTTCCCGGGCGGATCCTTTGAAATCATATCGGGTTAGCATAATCTTGAAGACTCCACTTGTTAACTGGTTTGAGGGAAACTTGTAAGAAGAGTTGCACGAGGCCATAGGCATAGGGCACTTTTATAAATCTGTATGTGTATGTTGCCTGATGATCATAAATTAACGTGCAACTCTCCGAGTTGCAACACGGCTTCCTTTCTCTCTTCTCTATGTGCTATCTGCAGAAGTATAACTAACTTGTTGAAAATAAACACATCCTGAATGTGTCATGATTACTACGTGTATACTACTTAGAGGCCGGTCTGGACCTTATTTCGAAACCGTCGACCCACCGTATTCGTGCAGAACAGGGTTTTCGTCAAAATATTTTCATTTCTGGTCCTGTATCCCATTTGGCGGGACAACCTGACATCCCAATGCTACCTCCCTGGTCTCCCAATATGAAGATGTGTGGATACGCTCCTAACTATTATTGTGATCTTTTCATAAACCACTGAAGCAAGAGGTAGTAACCTTATCAGCTAGTACTGACGTAGTTGATGTTCGTCACACATACACACACACACACACACACACACACACACACGCGCGCGCGCGTGCGCGCGTGCGCGCACACACACACACACACGCATGCACGCACACTTGTAAGATGCACCGTAGCTCATGCTTGTATGCTGTGTATGCTGTTTAGGCTGGCTCAGTAAATCCAATCTGCTCAAATTACGACAGACGGTAGAGGTAAATAATACCAGGCTGGAGAAAATCAAGATCAAGCTGACAGATGCTATTCCACGGAGCAGTGAGGAAACGATCAAGGTACTAGCAATTTATGATTATGCATGAGCTGTGTGTTGCAACATGCTTCACACAACGATCTCTCTTTATAACCGTTGAAACCTTGCTATTGGCCAGGCGTGTGGGTTATCTATGAAAAGGGTCAGGTGCAGTGCCATATTATTTTCAGGCAAGCTTTGCACGGTCAGTGTAAGCAGCTTGTGATCATACAATGGCAGCTGGGGAAGTGTGAGTGTAGTGGTACAAATGTCGCATCGCTTCACACATGGAGTATGCCATGACAATATAGACGTATTACCACCTCAGTTTCTCAGCTGTAGCTACGAAACAGCACACCGGTGTACTTTTTCTACTGCCTACGGGTACGTCTTGCATGCTGCACAGGCGAAACAAGGGGTGTCGGTGAGTCAGCCATGCGATGGCACTTTCAACCATGGGTAGGGGTGATGGGACGCCACGCTTTGTCACTTTGGCTACAACCCTGCCTTGTCTTCTATGCTCTATTATACATGGTTAGCATTTTACCGTTCGCCCTATCTTCGACCGTCGGCCTGTACCGTTTTTTGAGTGTTTTCAAGGCATGATTAGCATTTCGGTTTCTGACACAACGACCGGCTTGTGACGTCACCCTAGTTAGAACCTTACCGGTTCGTTCTCCCGCTAAACAGAGCCTTCTAATTCTATCGTCGAAACGATACCAAATCGACGGTATTTTTGGGTGCTTGGTACGAGTACCATTGGAGTTAGCATAAACGGTAAAATGTTAAGATGTACGTTGTATTCATCTGTGTTTGCTGCAATCAAGGTCAATTTAGTGAAGCCTGAAGTCAGTACACGCGAGCCGACTAAGACAGTGCCTGGTGGCAGCGTCACGCTAACCAAAGAAAACCTTCTAGAGTGGCAGCTGGAGGTCGGAGCCAGCTCGAAGCACGTTGTCGAATTTGCCTACAACGTCGAGTCACCTGCAAGCGAAGCGGATGTGATTGGTTGGTAAGAGCTCCGGCACCCTGGATTGTTCCAGGCTTTATGCAGTTACTTGTGTATCGGTAGCTATACAATTAGATCTCTCCCTGGCTGTTCAAACTCGAGGTATTGAGCACTCTCTTGGACAGCCTGGAACCTCTCTGTTTTACAATTATATTTGGTCAAGTTTTACAATGTGTGTTTTCAGCTGATGATTGTTGCCAGCTGGTTATGAAGCGTAACGTTTCCCTTATCTACGGACTCCTGTAGTAGAAACATGACTGAACATTCTTTAGAAACATAATTATCATGATTGGTATCACTGATCGAATCTAACCCTGAGACAAGAGTTCCTTTAAAAACACACTAGTCAGAACTCATTTTCATTCGCCAATGAAGTAGTGTATATTATAGGTTTTTATCAAGTTTGAGCTTCCCGATTTTCCAATGCTTTTGCAAAGGTGCTAAAAGAAACCTTGTAGTTGGTTCCACATCCTTTTTTACAGATCACATATCACTGGGTATTATCCTGCTTTGCTTTAAAGTGGTTAGCTGCTGCATGCTATTGCACACCGTTTACCGCTCGCTGGCTAGTTGCCATGGTTTGCTAGATCAGTGAGCATGTCCACTTGAGCTGGAAATCCTATATCAACAGCAATGCAAAAATGTAATTCTTCCAAAGGTGCTAAAAGAAACCTTGTAGTTAGTTCCACATCCTTTTTTTTTACAGATCACATATCACTGGGTATTAGGCCATGGTAAAAATTATCTTTGATTCTCAAGTACGCGCGCACCGATTTTTGGCGGCGCACCGACGATTTTTTACTATTTCTATGCATGCGTGTCGCATATGCGCGCATGAAAACGGTCAATGCGAAAGGCATGAATCAGGGAGTAGTAAAATACCGGTATTTTTCTACTCCCTGGCCTGAATAACGAGAGAGCTTGGAAGCTCAGGGCCCTACGCTATGCTTTCTTGCCTTGATGACCTAGACAAAAAAAAAGGATAGGGATGTTATAAATTCTTTAAAAAATTCCTTTTTTTTAGACATAACCTGGGATTCGAACCCGCACTATCGCGCGCCCTGCATTCATCCCCCGATGCACTTCGCATACATACTAATTCTTCCAAGTTGTTTCACATTGTGATCTTGCATTTGAAAGCCCTATTTGAGTTATATGCATTGTGGCCAGCCGTCTTTGATGGCACGGTACGGTAGGGGATAGGGACGGGACAGGTACGATCGAGGGTAATACGACACCGTCTCCCGTACCGTACCGTACCATCAAACACAGCTGGCCACATACAGCTTCCCGCAATATTCAAATAGGGCTTTCAAACGCAAGATAATAACGTAATGCAACTTGGAAGAATGGGTATGAATGCGAAGTGTATGGGGGAATGCATGTAGGGCGATAGTGCGGGTTCGAATCCCAGGATATGCCTGAAAAAAGGAGAATTGAAAAATTTATAACATCCTATTAGGGGTGAAAGTTGGCACTGAGATCCCGAGTTCGAGTACTCTGATTTTCTCCGATCGAATATTCGAGTATTCGAGTATTTTTCATCTCCTAAAAATTGCACACCAAGGGCTTTAAAATAACATGGTGCAACCCTGATTGAACTGAGTAGCAGTCATTTTTCTCAGGTATATTGGTTGGTGGGTCAATTGGGCTCTCTCCACTCGAGAACAAATGTTCACCACACAGTCTGCACATCACCATCTGCCGACTGCTGCCCTGAAACTGCAGATTTCTGTAGAAAATGCATGTACCACGTATGAACGAGTACTCTGATTTATTCCGAGTACGATTATTTTTGAAAAAACCGAGCGAGTACTCGAGTACTCGGTATAATTGTTTCACCCCTACATCCTATGCTTTTTTGCCGTCAGATACGGATAGCGCCAGGCGTGACACAAACAAACAAACACACAAACAAACACCAAATTAAAGCTGTGTGGACCCTGGCTAGCGCCAGACGTTACTGAAGTAACGTCTTCTGCATAGCTACGGGAATAAAATAATTATATGAACCAGTGACGTACATATGTATGTGTGTGACCCTATCTTTGGAAATAAAAAAATTGTGGGAAATAAAATAAAAAATCGCTCGCACGTACCGATTTTCACAGGGTCATGACCTGAGAATCAACTTCATTTTTAACCATGGCCTTATCCTGCTTTGCTTTAAAGTGGTCAGCTGCTGCATGCTATTGCACACCGTTTACCGCTCGCTGGCTAGTTGCCATGGTTTGCTAGATCAGAGAGCATGTCCACTTGAGCTGGAAATCCTATATCAACAGCAATGCAAAAATGGGAGGAGGGGTGGTGGTAGTAGCACAGGCAGAGTCTGCAGGGCAAAAGGGGCAGGGCAGCAGGGGAAGGGGACAGCATGGGCAGGGGCAGCAGCAGACAAGGGCAGAGTAGGGGTAGCATCAGGGGCTACAACAGGGACAAGCAGCAAGGGCATCAGATAAGCAACAGCAGGATAGGCAGGGACAGCCGCAGCAATTACATGCAGCAATAGCAGGGGCATCAGCAGAAGGGGTGGTGGTAGTAGCACAGGCAGAGTCTGCAGGGCAAGGGCAGGGGAAGGGGACAGCATGGGCAGGGGCAGCAGCAGAAAGGGCAGAGTAGGGGTAGCATCAGGGACAGGGGCCGTACCAGGGACAAGCAGCAAGGGCATCAGATAAGCAACAGCAGGATAGGCGGGGACAGCCGCAGCAATTACAGCAATAGCAGGGGCATCAGCAGAAGTGGGGCAGGGGGCATCACCAGCAGGGGCAGCAGCAGAAGCAGCAGGAATGGGGCAGCATCAGGAACACAAGTAGCAAGCTGTGTTGTTGAGCTCGAATACAATATTTTGTTCCACAGCAAGGGAAGAACCAGTAGGGGTAAAAAACAAAACAATGCAGCACTGGGGACTGTATCAGGGGCAGCAGGTGGGGGTGGGGAGTGAACAGCAGCAGACAGGGCGGCTTGAAGAACAGCCACAGCAGGGGCAACAGCAGCAGGGACAGCAGGAAGAGCAGAGAAGGGCAGCAGCAGAATACATGCAACAGGGATAGAATGGGGGGGGGGGGACAGCAGCACGAGCAGCAACCGCAGCGGAAAGAACAGCAGCACGAGCAGCAGACAGGATATCATCACAGACAGGGGCAGTAGTTGTATTTTGCATTCATTCTATTTACATGGCAAGTGAAATGGAAAATCCTGCCCAGTGTTATGATAACGATAGTAATGCAATGGAATACAATGGCACCAGCACTAGGGGCCGCATTACCATCAACACCACAATAGCCTGTAGCAATGGTGAGGTATGAATAAGGAAAAATATAATAATAAGTTGCAATGGTGATCCCGGCATTCTGCATAAAGTCTCACGCAAGTTCGAATTCGACGCTGAATGTTACGATGCAAACCCCGACTGCGAGGCTCAGAGCACAATGTCTAGTTTATCGCCAGTGGTCACAAAGCAGAAGAGTATGGAAAATGTAAAAATAAATGCTGGAACATCACCAAAGAATGGGTCTTGCCAATTACCCACACACATGTACATGCATAGTGTGGATAGAAAGCTATTTTTCTATCAAATACACCTAATTTCTCTTTTAAAAGGTGTATATGACCCGGTAAGAAAAGAAGCGGTACTAACTTTGAATCAGGCAGTATAGGGTAGATATTAGGGAAATGGTAACAGAGGCAAGACACAGCAAGATACCAGCGCATACGTGATAAGATACAAAGCAAAATTGGGTGAAACGTAAACATTCGGAATGTACAGTCCCAGTTACGAGTAGTGATTGTGGACGGCATTCGAAATAAAAAAACCTTGCGCCACTCACATTTCCCATCTGCAAGGCTAGCAATCACTCCGATGTCGTTATGGTAACCTTCAGCGGCGTGTTGGTTCGGTTGAGTTGCACAAGACCCGAGAAGTTCAGCTGAAGATACCCTTCCGTGTTCTACAAAGAGCAGGGAATACGCAAGAAAAAACCCATGAAAATGATATGAAAAAAATGATGTTGTACCATTGCCACACTCTTCCCCAATATGGTCCAGCAGTATTTCACGCAATTGCTTACAGTACTGTCGGGCGCCGAAAAACGGCCAGGCTAGAATTTTGCCGAATTTTTAGAACGGTGTAGGCTGGACGTATAACTCTGCATAGATACATGTAAGACTGTACCATGGAATAAGAACGAAACTACTGTGTTCGCTAAAAATAAGAATGGGCTAGGCTATAACCCTGCCCCCCCCCCCCCCCCCCACAGTTCTTCGGTGCCCGACAGTATTGTACACCGTTTCTGCAACAAAATATTGGGCATGCACAATGTTGGAATGGGACTATAGTTGGGCCAGCTGTGCCCGGCAAAGTTGGGCATGGACTGAGTTCTTACCAGCTCAGCACTCTCCACAGGAAAGCTTTTTGAACCGAGCTCCACGGCGATCTGCTCCAAGTTAGCGTTCTGGAAGGGCAACCAGAGCTGAGCAATGGCCAGTGTACCGTAAGCAGCTGTGATCTACAGTAACATACAACAGGAAGAGAAATGAAAGAGAAGGAAACCCTGGTATTCTCGATCAAATGTTGATTGCTGCAGAGTGGCGCAAGCCGTTGCTCTTCCTGGCTTCACGACCATAATAGACCACTGGTAGGTTACAGTGGGCATGACAACAGGAAAGGTCATGTCTAACCAGTGTCATCAAGACAGTACATGTAGTAATATTGATGTACTGATTACTACTCAATCTGCGGACAGCATGCTGTTTCGGTCTTAGTGAACTCATCAGCGCAGCACAGAGGGAATGAGGCCGAACCTGATAACAATGAAAATAAAAATTGCCAATCAGGCCCGAAGGTACCTTGCCAGAGTGCTCAAACTGACAAGTCAGTGAGCTCTGCGTAATGCAAACAGCAAAGGCACTACCCCACATGTACTGATTACTATGCATGATACTCTTTGTGAGAACAACCCTGGACGATAAGCTGGATGTGGTGCTCTTATCAACTCGGCTCTTCAGTCATGGTCATGCTGCCCTGGTTATTCTCTAGCCTAATAATTGGGCACACGGTGCGGATGCAGATTCGAGAGCTCCGCACCCTTTTTTCGTGAAAGTGATACCCCCTGTGTCGTGAAGCGGATTCAGGGCGTGCACCCACCCTTACCACCCACTATGGCTAGCACTGGGAAATCGAGACCCCGCTGGATGGCACTGAGTTCCGAGCAGATGCGGGAGACGTCGGGGAAATTTGATTGTCCACTGGGGATCAAATCGGTGGATTTCGAGAATGCGCTTGGTGATGCCGGGTACGATTACCTCAAATCTGTGCAGATAAGTTCCAAGCATGAGTGCATTGTAACCTTCTTGTTCACTGCCAGTGTGGAGCATGTTGTTGAAGAGGGCTGTTCACTATCTATTAGATAAAGAGTATTTTGGTTGCACATGTACTTGATCTGACCCTCCGATTACACATTTCCGATCTTCCTGTCTGGATCTCTGATAATGCACTGCTGGACGCCCTTACACCGTACGCGAGTGCCCTCTCCATAGTCGAGCTGATAGCGCCAGAATGCCCGTAGCTTCTGTCAGCACCGTCAACATGGACAAGGAAGTCCAGGAGTATATATTACACGGTGTGTCAAACGGCTATGTACTGCACGGAAGGTGTTGGGTGAGCAGACGCTAAAGATAGAGAAGCTCAAAGCCCAAGTGTCATCTGGTGATTACCCCACATGGGTAAGAAATGAATTAGGGCTGCAACGGGTAGGCTGAAAGCAGCTCCTACTAAAAACTCGAAGGCAGCTGCTCAAAGCAAGAAGTCTAATTCTGATGTTAAGAGCAAGTCAGGAAAGCCAAAAAAGATTTCTGCATGGACATACGCATGCACGCACGCACACGCAGATGCTGCACTGCTTACCTGAGCAGTCCCGCTCATAAAGACGTCATCGGCAGTTTGAGAGAACTGTCCCCAAGCATTGGGCAGGTTGTAGAAGCCGCGGTAGTTGTTGGGTCCGATGCGAGGCTTGAAACCAACACGCAGACCGCCAGTGTCGGGTAAGGCCTCCCAAGTCTGCGTAGAGTGAGGGAGAGAGACAAGAACAAGATGATATGACACAGCTGACACAATGTGTAAAGAGATTAATTGTGGCACTGTAGATCACAAGAACAAAGATAGGATGATCAGCTGACACATTGGGGAAAGAGTTGACCGCGGCACTACTCACTTCAGCACTCTGTGACCTGTAATTCTAACTCTATCACTAACTTACTTCGAAGTATGTACTACTCAGTGATGTGTAGTGTTTGTTAGAGGAATGGGCAGGAGAAGCTTACAATGCCTGACGCAGTAGCAAAGAGCTGGAAGGCACACATTGGGCGTGAGTAGTGGTCACCACACTCAATCTCATTCCACGGACTGCGGCGGGTACCATCGTAGCAGTAACGAGCATCCTCCAAAACTGTACAGACACACATGATGAGAAATCGGCAAGTCGGATGACTGGGATATGACAACACTTGAATTAGGATACAAAAGTCAAATGATATTTCAGTATTATAGCACCCAGGAAAAAGTACTGATCTCTTTAGCAGTCTTTGCATCAGATAAAGAGAACATTATGGAACCTTCATATCCTTTGCAAGTGATTTGACCTGGGGTATAGACATATCCTTTGTAAGTGATTTGACCTTGGGTATAGAGCATCTGGGCTATACAGCGCTGTTTTTTTGCTTAACCAGTCTTCACTGAGAAGGGTCACTGACTAACTGTCAGGCTCTACCGTACCTAGTTCCAGGTGGGACCTGTGAACAAAGACCAATCGTATTTAGAAGCTAGTTCGCTAAGCAACATACTTGAAGTAGGGTGGTCACTGAAGACAATGGAGAGGATACACCTCACTGCTCAGTTCTTAGTCAGGCGGTATGTTTATTGAAACACTGAAATGCTGCCAAATGCCCCACAACCACTGGCCTATCATCTTAGCATGCTAGGCTACGACCTACTGGAGCAGGGTTCGTCTAACACTAGTTCCACTCTGAAAGCAATCAACTAGGGAGTAGTGAGCATGGCAACGACGACTAACCTTGCATGGCAATATCGTTCTGTCCCATGTACATGCACAGACCGGCAAAGTAGTGAGAGAGACCAGTCCACGCACACTGAACAACACAATACACAGACAATACGCAGGCAACATTGAACACATGATGCAACAGCAGCAGCAGCACAGCAACATGTGTCTTGCATGGGATAACACAAAAGTAACATCTCACTACCAGTACTGATCAACGCAGCAGTCAGGTGCACTGTTCTCAAGCTCACAACTGTTGGTGTACGATACTGTGAGCACGAAATTGATGACACCAAAAGCACCCGAAACTGAGGTCCAAAACTTGGTTACAGCTTCGATATAGTTACTGTGACAGTAAAATATGTTATTTTCGGTGTAACTTTTAATTTCGGTGATCTCGGTAGGGAAGACAGGCACCTAAATTTAAATTACACCTAAAATGCACTAGAGTATGCACTGTATGTGAAGGGGAACCTGGTCACCTAATTCTACATTACACCTGAAACCTGGCAGGTCCCTGGCACCGAAATGTTGATGCACCTAAATTTACATGGTTTACAGTATAATTATGATAAACGACACTACTCATTGTGAGGCATTAGCCCAAAATAGTATTCCATATTGTGCGATGGCCGTAAAACATGCCGGCTACGCACCTCCGTTGTATACGTGAGTCTGTTCGGTGGTGGGACACCGTCAGGCCAGCAGCCAATGACCATGCCAGCATCGCGTTGGTCATAGAACGGACGTGGTGATTGCTCGCCTGGGCATGGGGTAGTAACACATGAATCAGTAGGCACTGGTACAACAGAGCAATGATGACCAATGAACAACAAATTTCAGGGGGTTGCTCAAGGGGCATTTTCAATAAGAAATTCCGGCACACTTCATAACATACAAATTTCGAGGTGATTTTTTCCCCCGTGGAAGATAAATGTTCAGGTTTTCAAGCGTGTTCAAGGGTACGGCAAATACTGCCAATGGCAATAGAGTTGGCAGAGGTCAAAGGAGAGTCAAAATGAGTACCAGATGTCCTGGAGTGATCTGCGTAGGATATTTCATCACAGACCTTGCGATTGCTACAGAAATGACACAGTGAAACGATTCGTGCCAGAAATTTGAGAAGCAGGTCAATGGTCCGTGGGCGGTTCTTTGGGAATGGGCTGGGGAGGGGGGTGCAGGGACACAAGAGTATGATTGTGATATTAGACTAGCCATTCATGTGATCATGCACAGCATAACGTGACTTACTCGGAACGAACGAATCACGGTGATTGCGAGCAAAGATGTTCACTACAGTGCTCTGGCAGTGGTCCAAGGGCAGAATGTCGCCGAGCTCAAGAATGTAGCCCCACCATTGGCCAAGAAGACAGTCCACAAACGTAGCTGTACACACAATGTACATATACATCACACAATGAAACACACGGCAGACGAAATGCAACGAGTTATTTGTTGCTACTCTGAGTTTCACGACAAAAGGCACTCATCAGAAAATAATGAGTTTTTTAAAAGGTACAGTAGAGCCTCCCTTAGCACACACTTCCAAACAAACAACACATCCATACTGAGGACACTTTCTCTCCCCATAAAGCTGCCATGCATGGTGTAATCATGCCACCTCCCTATGCAGGAGAGATGCAACCGGCAGGATCTGTGGTGGATTTATTTTTTATTTATTTTTTATTTATTTCACCGTCCAATGGCAGAAGCCAATGCAAAGGAGGGGGCGTTAGCCAGCCATGGCAAGAGAAGAAAAATTCAGATGGGGAAAACTTACTGCACATGCGACCTTTGAGAGAAATATATGAGCCCCAGCCAGCAGAAACCTGAACATGTGTAATTTTTTCAAAAATTATTTTTTCGCTCGAAATTGATTCTACACTATTAATCATCCAAGTTATCAAGTTTGGTGACAATCTGATAAGCGAAAGCATGGAAAATAGAGTTTGAAGTCACACAGGTCAAGATTCGGTACAGTTCGCGCAGCATCCATGCCTAGTGACCCCATGCAAGTTGATCCTACAGTTTCTAATTGTGATGTGGAACAGGTACATGTAAGTAAATAGAATGCAAGTCAGGCTTGCCCTCTTGGTGCTGCAGGCATGAGTAGTTCAGAAGTGTGACGATATTCCGTATACACCACTACCTTCTTTACAACACCAGAGTGCAAAACGATGATTGGTGGCTGGCCTTCCAAATTGTGTTCAGGGACCTCTGTGGTGGCAGTTTGAGCGTTGTCCCAAAGCTTGCCATACTGATAGATGTACTGACCAATACCACTGACATCCACTCCCTTGCACACTTTCACTCAGACCATGATTTCAGCATAATTGTATTTCAATGATACGAGCGAATACTCGCGTTTTGTAGCACGTGAAGATGTTGCCCCAAAGCGTTCAGCCGGTTTGACTTTTTAGGGATCCCTTTTCTCAGCACAGGCAGCAGCCAGCTTGGCGTCGTCTGGCAAGGTAGAGTACTGATAATACTACGCTCTGTTTTGCACTGTGAGAAGCCCTCCATCAGTGTCTGCAACATCATTGTTGTCGATGTAGAAATACGGATCGCTCAGTGGGTCGACATTCAGCTTCTCCTCGCAGTCGCTATTACTCCAGCGCTGACTTCCGTCGCCACCAGTATCCAGTGTCGATTTTATGAGGGCTCTTCGTTGCTATGCATATGAGACTCGCCACTGCTGGACAAACTCAGCGAGATCGCCACCAAAGAAATAATTCCGATCGCGAACTAACTTTCAGCGCCGCTTCGTACAGGGAGTCTCACGCTGACAACTCTGGACCTAAGTCCTTGTCGCGACACCTGTCGCCATCGCTCTGTCTAAACTCAACCTCCCTGTGACGAGCTCTCACCTAGCGCTAAAATCAATTGACCAGAGACATTTGAAGACACTTGAAACTCCTTTGACAACAAAGACACCTAGTCGATCGAAAAAGAATCTTCAAAAGCCAACTCACTGCGCGTCCCAAACTTTGACGTCACATTTTGATGATTGATATCAAGTACACAAGTGCTGGTTTTCGCTGGCCGGGGCTCATATCTAAATAAGGGGCCGTCTGGGGTTACCAATAGTTTTTGCAAAACGAAAAGTTTTAGTATTTTTCAGCACCCACCCACCCACCTACCTTTTCTGCAGGTAAAACGAATTCAAATAAAATATTGATGTTAATATTGATGTTAATTTTCGACACCCACATGTAACTGGGCATTCTCCATCTGCATTCAATAATTATTTTCAAAACGAAACTCCTTCAAACCCACCCACCCCCAAACGAAAACTTTTCGTTTTGAAAATACTATTGGTGACCTAAGCCCCCTCTCCGGGCGACACCGGATGTGACATCGATGGATTCGGTCAGTCAGTAACTATCCTTAGTAAAACTGAAAATCGCTAAAGAAGACTTATAAGGAACACGCATAACAGCTAGTCTTAGTAAGGCCAGCATTTCTCTACATGTCCAGCACACTCACACTCTCCGACAATCTTGATCTGTGCTTCCGGATCCACTTGCTGCGTGTACCACTGGCTGTTCGTGAAGCACTTGCTGTCAAGAGACTGTCGTCCTAGCGCGTAGCGGTCAGCAAACGTCTTGGCCAATTCCTGCAACCGGCATACACAGGCATCAGTACAGCCATTAATAACTTGGTACAGGACAGGGTGCAGGGCAGGGGCGTAGGGCAAAGTGCAGGGCCGAAGGGCAAAGTGCAGGGCAAGGGCGCAGGGCAGGGGCGCAGGGCAAGGGCGCAAGGCAGGGGCGTAGGACAATGGCATAGGGCAGGGGCGTAGAGAAGGGTGCAGGGCAGGGGCGTAGGGCAGGGACGCAGGTCAGGGTGAAGGGCAGGGGCGCAGGGTGCAGGGAATTGTGCACAGGACAAGGCGCAAGGCGGAGGTGCAAGGCAGATGTGCAGGACAAAGGCATATGACAAGGGTAGAGGTGCGCAGCAAGTCCAGCTGGTCAGGCTTTGGCCGCATCACTTTTAGTCAACCAACCATGTGTTGATACTGAAGAAAGCATTCATCAGGTTAGAAAGCTGTACATGATATTGTGTATCACATGCATAGGGAGTTTCTGGGTTCAAGTCGCTTCCATGGAAATACAATGATTCAGACTACTCACAAAGGAGTATGATTAAAACTTGCCACTGTCAACCTAAAACTACTGCAGAAAGTCAGTTACAGACACCACACGTGCACACAATAGAATCAACTGACCTCATCATCGTCCAGCAAGGCCATCTTCTCTGACGCCCTGTAAAACAGAAACGGATTCGAGTGTTCATTAGTTGAGGGAAAGTTGTAGACGGGAAAATTCGGAAGAAACACTGACCGCCACCACCAGGACTCGAACCAGGGAGCCTCGCTTATGGCCAGTGATGCTCTAACCGCTAGGCTAGGGCGTAGTCGTCATCCAAGATTCGAGTGTGTTACGTTTTATTATTAACTTTTATACGATGTGAATCCACTGTGGACGGTAATTCTGCCCCGAGTTCATAAGTATCAGAGATGGGAACTCAATCACACTATGCACCAAAATATCTAACATAGCCCTTCCAACATAGCCCTTCAATTTCATTGACTGCTAGCAACAGTCCAACACAGAACTGGACCTTATGTTTGAGCCAAGCAGCCAGATCTTGATTTCAGATCTATTTCAGGCGCTGCATGGCGGATGTCAAAAATCGCTCAACCTGCGTTCAGCATGTGAATGTTCGGGCCTGCAATGGTCTAGGCATCGCGTTTCAGGGCATGTTGCTTTAGGCAAGAAGAATCGAGCGCCGGTGCGCAAGGTCCACGTGCAACTGTAACTTCATGAAGCTGTAGCTGAATAGCTGTATGCCCGTACAGTGCAATATCAATTACAAACCCACTACTACTGTAAGTATGAACTGATTTAAGAATTTTAGGTGTGCATCCCTAAAAGGTGGAGCAGCTACGCCACTGAAACATAAGTCTCTCAACTCTTCGAGCATCGTGAAATTTTCCTCAAAATGTCATCCGTTTTCCTCTGGCCGAAAATTTCCGACTTATCATACTGTCAGTATCATAATATGCACATGTAAAACAGAGAGGTTCCAGGCTGTCCAAGAGAGTGCTCAATACCGAGAGGCAGAGCTGGTTCAAACAATAAGAGGACAGAGAAAGTGTTTTAACTCTGAGTTTCACGCACTAAGCGATCATCAGAAAACAGTATGTCCAGTATTCTGACAGCTAGCATCTGTAGAGATATCAATCTGCGATGCGGAGCACTTCAAACGGGATTCAATATTCATTCTTGTACTCGTTGAACTTACTTCAGTGCACAGAGATAGAGCGCCCCGATGAAGGTGTTGACACCGTACATGGCCGTGTCGTATGTGTTTGGCTGTGCAATCTTCATTGTACCTGCACACAGAAATGATAGCACAATCATACACATGTCTTAATCTCCTTCTTCAGCACCATGGTGAACCACCGTGATTAATTAGCTGCAGTGGAGCCTCCGCATATTGAAGAAGTCATACAGTAGTTCCTTGGTCCTTTATCTTTCTTATAAATTCATACGAAGCTCAGTAGACATATAATTTCGACTAGGCCTTTCGTACCATTACTCTTCAAGTCGAATACAATGGTGATTAACAAGGTAGCAAACAAGTCCTTATAACCGGCACTTTGGCGGTCAGAGCTTTGACAAAAATAGCACTTGAAAAATAGCTCTAGTGGCGCCAACAGCATATTTGGCGGTCAGAGCATAGACCAAATAGCACTTTAAAAGATAGCGCTAGTGGTGCCAACTACACAGTGAGACAATGAATATTACCAGTATCAGACAACAGTGGGGACCAAGGTTCTACAATGTCAAAACAGTGACAACTTTCGCACATACTTCTTTTGCACGCACAGTTCAGGCTTCAGCTTGGCAATGCACACTGCCTCCAGCATAGCAAGGTGAGATTTGTTGCGCGCACGCGCATGAACCATGAAGTGAGAGTGGGTGCCATGTTTGCAGACTGCACTTAGGCAGGCTGGTGACGATCTCAGGTGACGGAGTATCGCCGAGTCCTTCTCATTATCGTCATTGTCTGTTGGTCCATTGTTGGTCCATTCCTGTGGTAGCTATTGTGCATCGCAGCTGTGCCGCTGGCGACTTCTCTGTCGGGCGAGGAGTCACACACTGTTCCACATGCCGATCCTGTATGAGCCGCTTGTTGCAGAGCGTTGTTGCGGAGACGCAGCCGTTCACTTCGTCTCGTGACAGTTGCTGGTGGTTTGATCGATGTGGATTTTCTTCTCCCTTTGTAACGGTGACGGTGATGTCCTTGACTGCTCGGCTTCTCCCTGTCCTAACCGGCGTTGTTGTTCCTGTAACTGTCCGTACGAGTTTGTTGGGGATGTGCTGCTCTATGCGATCAACTGTGCTGGAGGCAGTGTAAATTGCCAAGTTGAAGCCTGAACTGTGCGTGCAAAAGAAGTATGTGCGAAAGTTGTCACTGTTTTGACATTGTAGTACCGTGGTCTCCACTGTTGTGTGATACTGGTAATATTCATTTAGTACCGTGGTCCCCACTGTTGTCTGATACTGGTAATATTCATTGTCTCACTGTGTAGTTGGCACCACTAGCGCTATCTTTTAAAGTGCTATTTGGTCTATGCTCTGACCGCCAAATATGTTGTTGGCGCCACTAGAGCTATTTTTCAAGTGCTATTTTTGTCAATGCTCTGACCGCCAAAGTGCCGGTTATAAGGACTTGCTTGCTACCTTGTTAATCACCATTGTATTCGACTTGAAGAGAAATGGTACGAAAGGCCTAGTCGAAACTATAATATAGTTTCAACTTATGGCTTCTGTGCTTCGTGTGCTGATTTGCTTTCCTCCTACCAAAAATCTATAAAAATTCATACATACAACCAAAGAAAAACACACGGCCGTTATATTTCATTCAACTCGTGGTCCATGCCCAATTGGCACACGTAGTCCGAGAAAGGGCTGATAGCCAGCTACGGCAAGAAAGACAAGAAGGATAAGAGGGAAGTTTCAACCAACGACACTCCTGAAGTGGGCCGAAGAGGTATACACCGTCCTCATAGTCAAATCAATACAAAACCCATGGTGTTACAGAAGATAACGTGGCCATACATCTTTGACATTACTATACTAGTAGATGGATAGCCAGAACCGACCTGGATCTGAATGACCTACCATCGCCCTGGTCGTTCACAGTCATCCATCTGTTCATGATTGCCTTGGCGGCGGGCCACATTGTCTTCAAGAAGCCTAGACCTGCACCCAATCGATACTGAATTTGTAGAAAAACACAAAAAACACACAAAAACACACACACAAAAAAGGGAACCAAGTTGTAGTGTATCCCAATGAATCTAGCCACTGCTCATGCCCAGCTGGGGTGCACAATCTATTCGTATGTTATTGCTTATGCAGGGTGCACTAGAAACAAAGACGGAATACTGCACGGCGAAAACTTACAAGAACACTGCAAAGTGACTGACCTATTCGTGAAGACGATAAGTTCTGCTTTGTACTAGCACATCAATACACTACCACGTGGAGATTTGCACCTAGGGAAACAGAATTAGTGAAATGGTACATGCCGAGGTACGAGGTCACACATGAAACCATCGCCTCGCTGTGGACTTCCTGACAAGCCCCCACTGCTAGTAAGGTCTACACGTCAAATCCAACTCTCACAGGATTGGTATCTATCAGTACTTCAGAGAAAGTAGATACATGCAACCATGACTATCTGTTGTAATCTGAATGAAAAAAATCTTGCAATTCACTAAAAAAAGAAAGAAAAAGGTTTAAGCCTGCAGATACATGCAGCTACAAGGAAGCTACATTCTTACCTCTCTGTACAACTTCAGCACTCCGCCAAGCTCACCGTCCACACACACGTAGCAGCTCTTCAAGTCAGTGTCGTAATTATCCCAGTACATCCAAGTAGGTTTCAACTCCAGGGGAACATTGATTCGCCTAAGGGAAGTTACAAACAGAAAATGGACAGTTCCTGACAAAAGGTTCAAGAAGAGAGTCAATTTTACCCAGGTTCACCATCATCAACAACCAACTTGATATGATGCAAAACTCGTCACACAAGAGTATGATCCGTATACAGTTGTGGGTAAAGACGCCGCATCCCTGCGAGGTTCGTTACCTAAGGCTATCATGATTAATTTTCTCATCGCACAACCACACCAGCCAGGCGGTCAACCGTGCCGATATAGCCAACAGCCCAAACTTCATTCTCTGGTTCACCTGATCAGGCTCTTTCTCACACCAAAGCAACAATTAATCCCAGAGTCTTTTCTATGAAGGGAGCATAGGAAATTCCCTGACGTCCGTCGTACTTCAAAGTTACGTGAATTGTATGTCCTATCAGTGTACCTCGTACCCGTACACATTTGCACACACGCCTGTGGTAGAAATCTGTGCAGCGAAAGAGGACCGTGCTAACCGGGAGTATGTCTTACCCGGATACATACTAAGCAAGTTCCCATGTAGTTAGGGTGGAGGACGTGGTATACGTAAGTTGAGTTGTAATTTATGTACGCATTAGTTGTGCCTGACTGCGCATGGTCTTGTGACTTGTTCTGGACGGTGTTTGCTCGAGCCATCCTTTCCAGAACGCGTTCTTTCAAATGGTACCCAGGTTGTTGTGTGATGGGTCTAGCTACTTCAGGCAAGACCATGAAACAGGTGGATCAGCTACATATAGCCACATACGTACTATCACTGGTACAAACTCCAGGCTTGCATTTTTTAACCGCCCTAATTTTGAGCTTCTATTGGAGCATGGGCCTCTATGGGAGACTTGAAATAGAGAAAATACAGTTGTAGGGCCATAAAAGGCAACAGTCACTTCTTTCAGCAGTACATATACAAAGCTACAGAGATACGTGTAGAATACTCACGACACAAGACGTCCCACTGGTGTAACCTGATGTCCAGCAGAGAGGTCGACGTCTCTCATGGTTTGCTCCAAGACGGGCCACAGGCTAGTGCGCATCACATAGAGTGGAGAACAGAACAAACATGTATATTCTAAATGCCCTTGCCTGCACAGAATCAGTTACCTTTCACTGAAGTACTTCAAAGCCAAGGGACTATAAACGAAGTAAATGGAAATTCCCTCTCAGCATCTATGTCTTGCCACATTGCGTCAGCACTCATGAAAAGAATAAGCTCAGGCTCCTCACAAGAAACTTTCCCACTTTTTGCACAAGTACTCTCAATGCCTTTTCATCAGGTGGAACACAGGTGCAAGTGTGAAGAAACCTGCTGTCACAATGCTGATCACATGCTTGTGAGGTTTCTTCACACTTGCACCTTAACATTACTTCTCATTACTTCTCAGGAATGAACTAGTCCAGTGTTGCATCGCAGTGTACGATACAAAATTGATCGAGTGCGACTCGCAAGAAACTGAGATACATAAAAGGCTATCATGCTAGCTCGCGCTGTCAGTAAAAGCGATACGGTGACTGTGTCGTACATGCACTCCAGCTGTAGACATGCACAACCAGTGCATAGACTCTGGGCCTGTCACGTTGTTCGTCATGGGCCAATGAACTGTTGCTGGCTCCGCGTGCAGACACCGGTGTCCTGCATGGACTATACGTACTACATACAAGGCCCAGTGGAATGTAATCCGTCTCTACTCAAGTTTCTTGCTTCCACCAAATCATTGCGCTGACCGTTCGAAGCACCATTCTCCCACCAAGGTGTCAAGGGGTATCACTTTCTCTGCGGGATGCAGTCAACGGTATAGTCTGTTGAGCATCTGTCTCCTGGTGATTGCGCAGAGCGAGAAGTTCGAGTAGTAGAGTAGTAGAGACAATTTATTCCACTGTTCCTTGTGTGTGTGTGGGAAAGCTTTGGTGATCTGTGATCATCCCCTGACTATGCTGCACCATACTGTATGCCTTTTGATGAAGTTCATGCTATCCTTTGCTCGTTCATGTTCGTACTCGGTAGGCAAGGTTCGCATGACGCTTTTTGGGCGTGACATGAAATTTGGCATCGGGATAGAGTTGAACATGGAATTTGAATGTGAATCGCACTACACTCGCGTTCGAAGCCAACGTGAGTTCTACAGGAATTGTTGCAGAATGTAATTCTCGTCTCATGTCAAGGTTTCCGAATTGATAGAGCGCTTACAACTGATTTAGAAATATTAATCAATTTCCTGTCTATGCTGAACTATGTGCACGTCGCTTGCCTAAAGCGACGCAAACTCATCAAACCCGAACAGGAGATGTTGGCCTTGACGTTGAAGTGGAAAAAACCCACGTGAAGCCTCCCTAGTGTACTTTCGTACTGACATGACATGTTGTATTATCTTTTTGGCTACCTGCACGGGTTCCTCCACGACCACGGGGTAGTCTTGTAGGGTTAGTAATCTTGTTTCGTCGTGACTCCGCTGTCGGAGCTCTTTTCTGGTCTCCTTGCCTCTTTTGTGTCTGTATTTCTGCTGACGCTGTACACACACCATACCCTTAAACTATACCCTGTGATACTGTAAAAGCCATTATTCTAACGAGGCGCATATATAACGATTTCCTAAAATTGACTGGTTTACGTCAACAAAAAGGTAACGATTCTGACTCATTCTCAACGCTCAATAGCAACAGTACTGTATCGATTTCTGTACAACGATTTCCATTTTAACGACAGATCTCTCCTCGTTAACTCGTTAGAGTTAGCACTTCGTTATATATATGTAGGACTCAGTATAGAGTCCATGCACTATATGATGTCCAGTACCCTATATAGAGTCCATTGGTCCAAAATCCACTATACAGCGTCCAGGAGTCCACTCAGTTTTGATCAGCTTCATCCTGCCGCGGAATCCCCTATAAGGAGTACACTTTTTCTACAAGTCCCCTATTCACAGTCCAGGAGTCCAGTTTATCCAGTAACGCCGTCCTGTGTGTTGTGCCCGAAAGAGAAAACACCTTTTCAGTTTTGCTTGCCTCATGGCAGCGCATTCCTTTCTTCACTTCAGCCATGGCTGCCAGTTCTGCTGTGCAGTTGCTGACAGTAATCTGTCTCGAGGTAACCAAGGAGGATAAGGAGACGTTCAAAATCAAATCTGGAAAGCGTCTTGTGGTTCTCTGAAGACGTTTCATCCGTGCGCGGGATGAAAGCAGAAATTGCAGAACGAGAAAAGTTCAGCACAGTTCAAATCTGACGAGTCAGGTACACTGACACTCTCTTTCGTTCGACGCCACAAGGATCCCCTGTTTGGCTGGCCATTGCTGCCAGGAAGGCGTTTGAACGGATTCATCAGAGCGAGGGATGAAAGCAGAAAGCGGAGAACGAGAAAAGTTCAGCACAGTTCCAATCTGACGAGTCAGATACACTGACACTCTCTTTCGTTCGACGCCACAAGGATACCCTGTTTGACTGGACAAGAGCTGCCTGTACCACCGTGTCAAAAGGCTGTCGAACTACATGGCAGGACGATGACTGAGGTAAGGAAGCTTTTACTCGTTTCGATTGGTCTGCTGTGTAGGCTGTCGTTATGCTTGAATTTTTTTTCCATTTTCAAGGATCGTATCGCGTTTTTGTTTGATGTTGCTTGAATGAATGCCATAAAAGTAATCAACCACTTCGTAATAGTCCTCAAGGACTGCAAGGACTTTGCATCAATCGTATACGATCGTCTAGATATCATCAATTATTATTTTATTTCATGAGAAAAGTATTTTTATCCCTGTGATAATTATGTGAACTCCACGACACTCTTCCTCTACTACTAGGCTCTAGTATGATGTCAAATACAATGGGATCCACAAACGCAGTGCCAGTGTACCGTAGTAGTAGTAGTAGGAGGATTTCTTGTATGCCGATGACAAGAAAAAGCTTCTCAAGCTAATACATGTACTCGTATTCCATGAAGTAACCGTTTTGATGTCACAAACATGACATTGTGTCAGTGAAACTGCCTCGTGACAACAAATCATTGCTTTTCCATCTTGGGGAGGACTGACTGACTGCAACGCTGTACAGATTGTTTAAATCATCTCATTTCAATTTAGGTGCACTGAAGTGAAACACTGTGTACACTACATGTATGGTGGTGTGTCTGTGCGTCTTGAGTGTGCACAAACAATCTTATTCCTCGTATTACTAATAGATTATTGTCCCCACCGTCGCCTGTTCACAGGTCTTTGTGTGGATGGATTTTCATTGAGCATCACATTCGTTGAGAACTTGGTAGATATGTGATCCCATGCATCATTACGGTAATAAGCGTATCCTTGTGCTATATATTTGTTGGAGGTGTGCTGATCTTCAGAAGCTTGCGGAACTGAGTGCTGCTGAACATTTGCATGGCCATGAGCAATGGTGAAGCTTGCTATTGCACTCTCAGCATGTGCTAGTATTATGCTGACTACTGCACTATGTTACTCTCTTACACTACTACATGTATGTAAACGTGCGTGCATCCGCCCACGTATGCATTCGTTTCGTATAATTATTTGTTGTCCCTCTTGACTTAACGTGTAAATGGGTGGACGTTTGTATGGCTGTTGGAGTTGCTTGTGTATTGTGTCTCTACTCTTTTCTTGGTGTTTTCTTGGCGCTGTATAAGTTTGTGTGTGTGTGTGCGCGCGCGCACAAGAATTTGAAAACAAATAATTAATCCTTGTCTCTCCATTATTCTCTTTCGATTCTTGTTTTTTTCTAGGTATTTTCTTGGCGTTGTGTGTGTATGTGCATGTGTGTGTGTGCGTGCACAATAATTTGGCAACACTACATGATTGAGATATTGTAATTTGCAGCGTCTGCGAAGAGACCACTTGATTTGAGGATGGTGTTTGTAGGGTTTTTCATGTAATGAAGTGGATGCAGTGGCGCCTCAATACTTATTTTTTATCTTGAGAAGTGAATGATGTAAAGGATTAAAGGGAGAGGCCGTTTTCTGGTTAATATTCACTGCTTACAGCAGATCCTATGTCTAATTTCGAACTCTGGATAGGGGATGCCTATATGGCTGGACTTTACACAGGGAGTGTTGTCCACATAAAGACTCCTTATATTTGATTTCAAAGTTTGGACTCCATACAGTTGATTTTGGACCAATGGACTCTATATAGGGGTGAAGCCAATTGGCTGGACTCTATACAGGGAGTGATGTCCATCTAAACTTTGAGCTCACAGTTGATTCCAAGTTTGGACTCTGTACAGTGGATTTTGGACCAATGGACTCTATATAGGGGTTGGACATCATATAGGGGCTGGACGCTCTACTGAGTCCAACATATATATATGGCTTTTACAGTGCGCAGAAGCCTGGGGAAATGATACAGCTTTCTGCTTGTAGCCAGTCTATCGTTTTGTTCTTGATGACATTGGCATCATGTTGATCCTTCTCTCTGGCAGTCGTCCAAGCTGTAAGTTCATTACTTTAGTTAGTCTAGTCTGGTTCCACCTCGGAAATGTCTGTACAATAGAGACTAAGAGTACATCTGAGAAGTGGGTGGCAGAGGTCGATGTTCAAAAACAAATTTAGTCCGTGTGTATACTTGTGACCCCGAGATCCCCTTTTGGCGCTGGGTCCGTGTGGCTGATGCCGAAACCTTTCGGTGGTTCCTAAAATGAGGATTTACAGGCCTTCATAAAGGATTTTCAGTTGTGTTTACAGGCCAATAACTATGTCCCTGTTGGCAAACCTAATGATACGGTAGATGCGGAGTTCCAGGCGAAGTTAGAGCTCATGGCACGGGTCGTTTTCTGCAAAATCCTGACAGCAGTGCGGCCCTCATGTTGCAATCACTGTCTGACGCCCAGAGGGAGATCGAGCCGAAATCGAGGCAGCGCTGCATGCTCGGTTTGGGGATACCGGTGTTAGGTTCACGATTTCATGTAGGCACGCGCTCGCACTCGCACACCAACATTGATCAGTTGACGCTAGCATGGACGAATGACATGTGTCAGCAAGACCCTGATTCCAGAGAGGTCACGATCACGGTGAGCGGTCAGGACGGAGACCTCCAACTGTCGGCCCGGACTGTTCGGGAGCTGCACCTACCAGCCCAGCATGTTGACATCGATCATCCGCGACAGCGCTAGCAACATGTGAGCAGCGCGCAGACATCCCTCTAAGCGCGACAAAGAAGCCGCGCTTGCTGATTGGCCAGGACAACTGCCATATCATCTTGCCTAGGGAGACCATCGAGGGCCCAGCCAACGCACCCACACTGAGCCGGTGCAAGTTAGGGTGGTCAATACACGGCCAACTCGGTGACACTGATCCAGTACTGCATGCCCGACTTGATGATACAGCGGAAGAAGGCAGCGCTGAGGACATGGATATCGGCCTCCACCAATAAGTGAAGCACTACTTCCTTTCTTGTGCATCGCCTAAATATTACGCCTACTGGGGTTCGGGGTCTTCATTGCTAGGGGGGTTGTTTCCCCTATGTTCACCCAAACTGCCCAATGCGTTCGTCGACATAGGACGAAGGGTTGCCATTTACAAGTGAAAATTTTTAGAAGACAAAAAGGCAAAGCGGTAGTGGTACCAGCTCTGGTGGACACAGGGGCGGCATTCACTGTTATCCGGAAAGATGTGTTTGAAGTGTTCGCACCGATGTCCGCACTCGCGCCTCAGTCCACAGTGGGTATTGATGCGCTCCTAGGTTGGTGGCAAAAAACCCGACGACACACAGGCTTTGCTGTGAGAAAGCTGCAGGTGCAGCGGTGACGTAAATTTTCTGCCAGCTATGCAGGCAGCATACGCCCTCCCTCCGTAGACTAAGAAATTTCAGTCGTTCGTCTTTGTGGACGGGATTTCGGGGACTGCTGTGAAGAGAGATAATGTAGTCAAACATTCCAAATCGGATATGCACAGCAAAGCGGTCGGGATGTAGACAAGTAAGTCTAGGACAACCTCGGAGATCTGCAAGTCGACTCCAAATTAATTGACACCTACTGATTGATCTACTCAGTTTTGTACTACTAAGAGAACAATTATTTTCTTTTTGATAACACACTCTTTGATCAAGAATTTGGTATGGCAATGGGAGCACCGATGGCAGTAAGGCAATGGCTGGCTCAACAAGCGAGGAGAGGAGCAGAGAAGTTACAAGAAATGTCCTACTTCATAGCCAGCGAAGAAATCCCGTTGGCTAAGTTCCCAGGTCTCGTGCACCTGGACAAACACCATGATGTGTGTGTCTCACTCGGTTCCACATACATCACTCGCCAGATGTGCAGCTACTTCACAAAGGTAATTGTCGATACAATGCGTGAACCAGTCATCAATACGCTGATGGCGGCTGACTACTCCACCCCCCTGATCGATGGCTCGACGGATGCTAGCAATACTGAAAAAGAGCTGATGTACACTAGTTCGATAACTAAAGTGGTGGTGTCGAAGTATGTTTCTCGGCCCTGAAGGATGCGGAAGACCGCACCGCAGAGGGATAGCGTGCATAGACAGCACGTTGAGTGAACTAGGCTTGGATGACCGGAAGAAGAAGCTGGTAAGCCTTGGCGTGGATGGTGCTGCAGACAACCTTGGTGTTCGCCGTGGTGTTGTAGCCCGCCTGGGGATTGGTTTGAGAATAGTTTTTACAAGGTATGTATAGTGGTCCAAAGAAGAACCAGTTTCCAACCAGTACATGTGTGACTTACTTAGCCAGCGACTGCTCGTAGTTCCAGACATGAGTGCAGTTCAGCGGACAGCAACCTTGCAAGACATGAGAGACAGAAACAAGAGTCTTTCAAGACAATGCACGCACAGCACTGGACTAGTGCAAGGAGGCTGCATTCGACATCAGGTAGGAAGAAAAACAGGCTCAATAGTACAATACTACCAATGTCAGCACCTGTGGAGGCCCTAACAGTGAAAAAACATCCCAATACGCCTTTCTCCTAAAACATGGGATTCATACACATGGCAAATGGAGCAAGATAAGGGGAGCATCTCTTTTTAGTGAGGTATGAGAATGATCAGCACACAAAGCACAGAAGCCATATAGTTTGGACAAGGCCTTTCGTACCATTACTTTTCAAGTCGAATACATTAACATGGCAGCAAGCAAGTCTTTAGAACTGGAAGTACAGTGTGTTAGAATGAGCACTCGGTATAGGACAAGTACGGAAATAGGAACTGATAAACACAAGTACCGTATTTTCCGGAGCATAGTGCGCACTTTAGATGTGCTATTTAGGCCCTAAATCGCAGGTGCGCACTATGCTCCGAATATGAAATGCATGTACTTCAATGAAGATTGAAGTGCGCACCCCCAATGAAGATTGGGGGTGCGCGTTATACAAAGGTGCGCACTATACTCCGACAAATACGGCACATGAATGTCTTTACTGCTCACCTTCAGTTTGCCGACAACCTTCCAAAGACAGCCAAGCCAAAAACAAGAAATAGCAGAATATCAAAAAATCTTACTTCAATAATCAATGATTACTTTCGAAACACTATCCTCCTCAAGACATGCTTTGAGTGAATCATGAATAGACAGAAGGAATCACGGATAGACAGGTGTACCGGAAAGGTGTGTGCAACAAGGGGAACTTTGAAAATGGAAACTGTAGACCACATCATGTTCACCTTACCTTCAAACGCATAGAGGCGATTATCGCCAAGCCACATGCAAGTTGGAGACCTGCATATAGGAGGAACATAAATGAGGATGATTAAAGTGCCAGAAAAAGCGCATATCTACATGTATTGCCAAGAGCACACAACCCCCAAGAGCGTCTAAGTGCCTGTACAACCTCTATGCAGTGCTGCCATGGCAGAACTTCACATAACGTGACATGGTTCAAAAGGTTACGCTGGCAAATAGCGTGAAGTGACCGGCGGAGAGTTGTACCCAAAGCAGGGTTGCGTCCAACCCTGTAGCTATTATGCACAGGGTGCAAATAGAACGTACGGGTTAGTCACGTGATGTGAAGTTCTGCCGTGGCAGACCCCATAGACAGGAGTTGTACATTCGTGCGGGTTTTGGTATCTTTATATTACACATCCATGTGCCGATAATACACCACATGTAGGAGACTGCTCCTATCACACACATCGCAATCCAGATGACAGAGGCACTCTTCTTACTGCCAGACTGACAGTATTGATGTGTACGCTCATCAACCCTAGTCCCTCTCATAAACACAATAACACGGGCAGAGGAGCTTAGTAAGATGGCAGTGTGGAATAGATAAATGGAGAGAGAGAGAGAGAGAGAGAGAGAGAGAGAGAGAGAGAGAGAGAGAGAGAGAGAGAGAGAGAGAGAGAGAGAGAGAGAGAGAGAGAGAGAGAGAGAGAGAGAGAGAGAGAGAGAGAGAGAGAGACAGACAGACAGACAGGGGGGGGGGGGGGGGGGGGGGGTAGCCCAAACCAAAATGACAGATACGAAACAAGACTCAGGAAACTGAACTAGAATAGTACTCAACGAAATTAGTGACAAATTACCATGCCATGACTTGACACAAAGAAGAGACATTCAATGCAGATGGTGACTTTACACAGCACACAACCGTCCTACCCTTCTCTGCTTTGGCCCTTACCTTATTGGCGACACTCGGCCCGCTGCACTGTCAATGAGTTGCCATGGCAATGTGCTGTCAAACATACAGTCTCTGAATGCCATGGTCAGTAACCGCAGATCGTCAATCTGGTCATGTGTGTACTTCAGCAACTGTAGCAATAGGCAACAAGGAAAGAGACATACATTACTCCCACGAGAGAACCTCTCCTTTCAGAAATGGTCTGCTCCGAGACTCTCACTTTTGCTGCATTCATCATCCAGTTTGAAGTAGGCCTCCACATAATGAACCTGTGTTGCAGCCAAACATAATGTTCACACCAGCTAAAACAAATCATGTCTTGAAGGCTATCCATGGGACCTAGGCAAGTGCAATGTGCCTGGCATCGTCCTCGTAGAGTTTCCACCCTACACCTGTGTGACTAAAACCATGTACTGCAGCAGGCTACAGTACTGCATGTACGTTATCCAAGAGCTTGTCGTGTGTTCAATGAGAGACGAGTACTCACAGAATTGATGTCAGGATAGAGATGGGCATAGTAGTTGCCAACGTACATCTCAGAGATGTTCCTATAGCCTGGCTGACCCCAATTCGTCATACTAGTCCAAAGGAAAAAAAGACAAAGCATACAATATGGGTGAGCAAAGGAAGATTTTTTTCTTTTTTTTCCCCTGTCATAGTCCTGTTTATCATGTTCAGCATAAGCGAAGTTGTGGATCATGCTTGCATGGTTGACTCCAACGCGTACATGCAAGTAATAATAATAATAAAGGAAGACAGAAGGAGAGGTAGGGGGGGGGGAGAGAAAGAGTCCTGATCATGAAAAAAGTTGCGTACTAACTATAAAGGAAACCTGGTTGATCTACCAGATAGCTAAGCCACTGCCCCATAGCCCAATACAGCCCTATTGCCCAATACAGCCCCATAGACCAATACAGCCCCATTGACCAATACAGCCCTATAGACCAATACAGCCCCATAGATCAATACAGCCCTATAGATCAAACACCCCCATAGCTCAATACACCCCAAGAACCAATACAGCCCTATAGACCAATACAGCCCAATAGACCAATACAGCCCTATAGACCAATACAGCCCCATAGACCATGTTGTGAAATGATGTGTTGTTTTCCTGTGTGATGGCATTCCCCAAACTGTCTCGTCTAGTCGCGTGCATGTGTGATATGAGCATGCGCGATTTTGTAGACAAGAGTCCTTTTTTCAGTCTTCTTGTTCGTCCCTTTGAGTGTTGTCTACATTTCCGTAATGTCAATAATATATAAATAATGTAACAAACCAGTCTTGTCCTTTGTGTCCTGCGTCCCGGGGAACGGAATGGCTGTGATTCCGCTACAACCAATACAGCCCTATAGACCAATATAGCCCCATAGATCAATACAGCCCTATAGATCAAACACCCCCATAGCTCAATACACCCCAAGAACCAATACAGCCCTATAGACCAATACAGCCCCATAGATCAATACAGCCCTATAGATCAATACAGCCCTATAGATCAAACACCGCCATAGCTCAATACACCCCCATAGCTCAATACAGCCCTATAGATCAAAACACCCCCATAGTTCAATACAGCCCTACAGTACTGTCGGGCGCCAAAGAACGGCCAGGCTAGAATTTCACCAATTTTTAAGAACGGTGTAGGCTGGATTTTTTGCAGATAAGAACGGAAACCGTAATAATTATATACTATAGTGTACAGTCAGATGTATAACTCTGCATAACTGTACTTGTGAGACTGTACCTTGGAATAAGAACGAAACTGCTGTGTTCGCTAAAAATAAGAACGGGCTAGCCTAGAACCCTGACCCCCAGTTCTTCGGCGCCGGCAGTACTTTATAGACCAACACAGGCCTATAGTAATTCCCTCGCACAAAAGAGAGAGAGAGAGAGAGAGAGAGAGAGAGAGAGAGAGAGAGAGAGAGAGAGAGAGAGAGAGAGAGAGAGAGAGAGAGAGAGAGAGAGAGAGAGAGAGAGAGAGCCTTACCGATGCGGAAAGTGCCATGCCAAGTAGAACGTGATAGTCTAGTGGACAAAGGGTGCAAACACAAGATTGGCCGCAGTCAGCTAAAACATGTCTTTAAGGTTTACGGATTCGTAAAGTTTTTGAGACGGAATGAAGAATAATTATTATTGTTCCTTTCGAGTGCATTCACCCTGGGCTTTATTCATCAACCGGTGGCGATACCGTCTTGTTGAATTTCGTTCTCACATTTGTTTGGCGGTCTAGTTCAAGCAGCTGGCAAGTAAAGTGACAATTTTCTAGAATAACATTTTTCAGAAATTTTCACTCTAAGACATGTTGTAGCTGGCTGTGGCCCAGATAATGCCGACTTCAAACATCTCAGACTTCGGTACACTTGGACACATCTCACTTCATGCACTGCTCAGATATTCAACGGATCTATGAAAACAACTAGAATTCCAACTACACATCAATCTAAACTTGAGGCTATAACGCCAGGAGACTCACGGTTTTGGACTTTGCCGGAACCTTACGTGTCAACGACAAGGCAGAATCCCAAGTGCGACCCACCTACAGGAGCAGTAGCAGTGCATACAGGGAGAATGAATACACAGCACAACAAGGGCAAGCAAGGCTAGTTCCTGGCTACTCTTGAGTTTCATGCTTACGCAATCATCAGGCAACACAGGAAGAATATAAATGTCAGGCTATAGAACAGTGGTGTGACAGACATGAAGATTGCCACAGAGCTATGCTGGGCCGAAGCCAAACACAGCAAAACGTCACCAAAAGGTTCCTGAAGTGGTCACGCAGGCAGACGTCTGACATCATTACCGGTGAAGGACCGTGCAGTCCGTTGTCCCTGAGCCCGGCTTCACTGGTGAACAGTTCCCACATAGTCTCCAGCGAGTAGAACTGCAGCAGCGATGACACTACATCATTGTCCTCCGATGCAACTAGCCAGAGGAAAGAAGATGAACAGAGGGCAACAATGCTAGGCATTTTATTATTCTCCTACCTTAGCAATACTTTTCGTTCGATCCTCACAGGGAAGATATAATGAAGATAATTATGACAACGAGATTTTGTTGGAATAGCTAGTAGCAATCTGACAACATGGGGGGGGGGGAGAAGGGGGTGGGGGAGAAGGGTGGGGGGAGAAGGGGGCGGGGGAGAAGGGGGCGGGGGAGAAGGGGGCGGGGGAGAAGGGGTGGGGGAGAAGGGGGTGGGGGGAGAAGGGGGTGGGGGAGAAGGTAGGGGCTACTATGTAGGTGTACAGACTGGGAAGTCCCTAGGAAGGGCAAACAGAACTTACCACAAGATGCAAAATGGCCGTCATGGCTGTCGTAGTGATTGTTGTCCGGGTCAGAGAGACTGGTGTTGAACATGTCAATGGCGGTCAGATTACTGCATAGAAGGAGCAGAACATAAATACCCAACAGAGCATGGTCAATGCCATGAACAGAGACAGAGACAGAGCTATACAAAGAGGGCACAGACAGTAAAAGAACAAACAAACAAACAAGCAGCCGACAACACTCTCAAAGAAAGGTTCAACTACCCCACTACCCAGGACATTGTACTGCCCTGGACATTGCAAGTCCAGACAAGCATGTTTTGTTTGAAGATGAACATGTACAGGGTACGCATAGACAGACTCACTCATTTAGCTTGGCAAGCGCATTGGAATTTCCGCCATAGTTACGGTTGTTCACTGCCGAAGAAATGACACATAGAGGCAGCTTGGGTTGGAAATAATTACATTGCACTTTTAAATTAAAGTAATAATGATGTACTCCCAATGATGTGCTCCCATACTGCCATACAGACAGGCAGAGTATGGGTTATGTGAAATAGCCCATACTGCCATACAGAGTGTTGATAATGCGAACCAGCCCAAACGCCATAGAGACAAGCAGAGTATGGATCATGCAAACTAGCCCATACCGCTTTTACAGACAGACAGCGTATGGATCATGCGAACCAGCCCAAAAGCCATAGAGACAGACAGCGTATGGATCATGCGAACTAGCCCATACCGCCATTGGTGATAGGAGACTGGCCATCCCAGCCAACCATATTCTGCTGTGAATTCAACAACGTGACCTGAGCAGAGGCAACATATGACACAATCACATGCATCTACATTAGCGAGATCGTATGTGCATGTACAGGTACAAATAGCTTGGTACATGGCCCAGTTATAGGTGACTGCATTATGTGTGAGCTCCTACCACAATGTGGTGCTGACGGGCTGAACAGCACACAAATTAAGCAATAGATGCTCACCTTGCACGTCACTTGCATGCATACACACACCATTGGACCATTGGACGCCCATCGCCAGAGGCGATGATAGCGATGCTACAGCAGAAGCCATAGCAGCTTGTGCTGGGATTGCACCATTCAACAACCTGCAAGGCTGAATAATTGACCGCCACTATTCAGCCTGGTCTACACCACACAGCTATGAAGTGGCTTTTTCTGGCCAGTGAATCCCTACTTTCTGGTCTTTTTCATTTTTTTCACATGCACACACACACACACACACATGCATACACTACCGCAGCACCCTACTGCTGCGATGCCAATGATCAATATCGTTACATGCATCCGTATGCACTATTCGTACGTGTGTGTGTGTGTTTGCTGCTGTGTTTCAAAATCCTACACAACACACACCTGGGCATCCTCTCCAGTGTTGTTGGTGATTTCAAAGTCAAAGATGATGATGGGTATTCCACTCCTGTTCTGATCCAGCGGAATGCACGGGTTCCAAGCAGTCATGTGCACATCCACCGGCAGTCCAGTGTTGGGGTAATCAACTGAAGCAAGCAACACAGACAACACACAAGGTCAGGAACTCCAAGAACAGGTAGTCCATTTGACCCATATGGTCATCAGTCCTATACCAACAGCATCATAATAATTTTATGTACTTGTGCTTTCTAAAAACTAACTTTTGACAACATGCAGCTTTCATAAGCTCTTGGCAAAAACACAAGCCGGGAACAATGCCCTTTTTGACCGGGAAAACTACAGCCACGGTCAGTGTTGCAACGTAACGACAGCGCTAAAACAAACAAGTCGTTACCTTCCACGACGGGATACTTGGCTGTGATCTCCACTTCCGGAATGCCGGGCAGCGCTTTCAGCAGCTCAATGGAGGCAGGTGGTACGACTGTATGATGCAAGAGGAGCAGCAGAACACCATAAACAGGCATTAACAACCACACAACAAGCCGACCTGTTCGGGAGCTATTACGCGTTGTACTATCAGGACATAGGCAACAATTGCTGCACACAGTATGCAATACATGTACTATGGGCCGATGCCAAGCAGTCAAACTTCAGAAAAAAGTACACCGGATATTACATAATATTATAACATACCATCCCACACAGTACTATTTCGAAGGACCCTGCACTATACTACACTATCCAGTCGACCTCCGATACAATGTGGACTGCCTACATTTAAAGTACAGACGTCCACGGCCCTTTGGAGCTCAGACAAGCTTGCATAAAATGTCCAGACTTCGAACACCCAGCAGACATGAGGATCCGTGATCGAAGAGAAAGAGAAGAACGAAAATATCCCCCAAGAAACATAATCTGGAGCGCAGCAACTCTGATGCATCATCATGATTTCGATGACGTACATACTGCCTAGAACCTAAAACTATGACTTACTGTGATCGGTGATATGATACGCTGGTACGAAACCCTTGTCGTCGTACAGTGCATCAGACTGCAACACTTTACACTGCGTTTTACCACCGACTTCAGTCCTGAAGTGAGTACACAAGAATACATTAAAAACAAGCAGTCATCAGAGTTTGACACCATTGACGAGAGAAATGAAGAGTACGGGTTCGATCGCATGAGCGTGCAAGAAAAATACATGTGGCTATCAGCCGCTAGCCGCTAGACATAAGCAATTTTGACGGCTAGTGTTGCGACTAACGGTCTGTACAGACACACTTGTATCACTTTGAAGAGATAGCAGTACAGCCACAGAAGGATGTGTTTCCTTATCGGTAATGAGCTTTGCAAACGTATCTCTCCTTCGCCAGTCAAAAACCCGCAATAAGAGGGAAAGGTACAGCAAGACCTTTCGTCAAACTCACTTATTTCAGTTCTAGTAACACAAAGAAAAACTGTACTATTGTGTAAAATCGTCTCTTCACACAAAATCAGACACAAGCCCTCCACATATCCAACAAATGGGAAATGAGCAACCTCCCTGGTGTGGTAAAGCGACAAGCGAAGAAAATACATGTTTTCCTCATTCAACAGTGCCACACGTCGACATCTCTCCAGTGTCTTGTGAAATTCCAGACAGAAAACAAAGTGTATCTGTTTCTCCGCCATGCTAACTCTGCAACTTACTTGATTGCCCAGAAAGAATCCGGCACATGGCCGTTATGGCTGACTTCGTTCACCACCTGCCACTGTCGCAACCCTCCGTCTCCACCAACTGCAATCACACCACCGCCTGGAGGCATGGAGGACAAAGCAGGCATGCACCGTTTACAGCTTACACCAGCGGTGGCCGAACACATCTAGCTATAACACCGTCAACTCACCATCAGCTAACTACAGCCGTAGTACCCTACATTAACTCACTACATGCAGTATGAAAGTTTTAGGACCTATGGTCAAATAAAGAGTGTATAGGAAAACACCATGGGCAATCAACAGTGCATGGAGGGTGGGAGCACACGACTGCCTTACCGATTGGGCCAAGTGGCAGCTGGCAAGCTCTGAGCGCCTCACCAGCATACTTGTACTGGGGTAGGTTTGGGTTGGAACTGCAGAAAATACAAGTAAAAACAGTATACATCCGTAAACACATGCACACACACACGCACGCGCACATACACACACACACACACACACACACACACACACACACACACACACACACACCGGGCAAGAGGCAACATTAGCAAATAATAATACATCATAAACACCAATATTAATGAGGGACTGAAACGGGAAAGAGTCTGAAGAAAAAGTTGACTGTCACCAGGACTCAAACAAGGGACCTTCGCTAAAGGCCAACTCTTATTTCACTTTGGTACATCGCACAGACCGTTGACCTACTTACACGAGTTCGAACTTTTTTATTCTGCTTTTTTAGAATGTTGACCTTGAACCCAGGAACCTGCGGTTTTGCCGCAAAGTACCGGAAGTAATCACTCAGCCAGGAATGTAGCACCGGAATGTGCCACATTGTTTTTTAGCATTAATTTTGTTGATCAGTACATACTCATGCTCATTATGGTGCTTTGGAGAACAGTAATGTACAAATATCAAAGAGCAGTGCATGGTCGCTGGGATGCTGAACTGATGGAACTCATTCCAACCCCCCTGTGTTATCAGTTAGCAGAATGGGTGTGTGGTGTACCCGTGTACATCGTACATACCGTAAAGTACCGTTGATCCGCCCCCTCTCTAATTCCCGCCCCCTGTCGATTTTCTACTTGTGAAGCGACTTCGGCGTATACAACGAAATATGAGGTTGATCCGACGCATGCACTGCTGTACACAATACATGCCAATCCAGGATGAAAATGTGCACAATCCAGCACATCGAGTCTGATCCTCCACGTTGTTGTACATCGTACTGCACTTGACAGCCTTGATCTAATTCCCGCCCCCTGCCGAAAACCCAGCTGGGAAGCGACATGGCGCGGGGGGGGGGGGGGGGGGGCGGATCAAGGTAATTTACGGTACTGGCACTCTCATGTTTCTTATTATGGTACTGCATCTCGTTGCATGGACGTGCGTACGACCTTACAGCGTACTACTCAAACTATGCATGCATGTGTGTACTCCGTACCCATAATCGACAGTGCATATCTCTTGTTGCTGTTCAGTCTTTCCCTTGTTCCTGACAAGTCGTCCTCTCAGTTCTTCGTTGCAATATTCAATATAACTAATCATCACATAGACTTGATGATAACACACACACACCCCCCCCCCCCCCCCCCATACACACACACACACACACTAAATAGAAGCTTCAAAGTTCATTACTGTCTCAACCGCATGCAATAGCGGTGCTAGTTCTGTGCAAGTCTGTTCCCTAATAGTTATCTGAACTTACACCTTAGGCGGTGCAGTGTCTCCAACAGGACTCTCCGTGTCAAACATCTTCTCGCACTTGAAGCATTCATCGCCGGTAAACACTGGCGGTTGCAGCACGCTCCAGTCATCGCTGACAAGGCTGCGTGCATCCTTCGGCTTGCTGAACTCCCCGGCTATGGGGTGGCAGCATTTCTTAATGTCTTCGGGCGGTGCACAACAGCTGCTGGCTGCAGGCTTACTACAGCAACCTGTTGAAGATGCGCCCTGTCCATCAGTGGAGGTTGATGACTAAGCCAGCACCACAAGAACAACAAAATGAAAGAAGAGGGAACATTGGATTGTGCAGTAGCCGCTGCTAATAAAAAGCCAGGCAAAGTGACTCGAGAACAAGCCATGAGACCAATCGTCAGGAGATAAGCCAGGATGCTGTGATTGGAATACTGATAGTCGTGAACAACACTCATTGCCGTTGTAACTCAAACCGAAAATCTACTTCGAAGTAAGTCACAGGAATACCTTGCCGATACATGTATATTATTATACACGGGTACTCTGATGGGGAGCAGGGCTCAGTTGATTGGCGACAGCTGTGCTATGCCATGCCATTTTTTATTCCAGTCGCTATGACGGGTATCCGTAGGCCTTACACATAAACCTACCTCGTATTTGGCATCGTCCGATGCCAGTCTCAAGTTCAGAAATCGCGTCGGCCCAGTCTGCACAATAGTATCCAGTGCATGCTTCCATACGCTGTCTGAAGTGATCTGTGAAGTGCACAACACAATCGAGGAGGCTCAGCGTACATGTGCCTGTCGATAGCACACATGATACTCAACAATCGCCAGTGGCGGATACGGGAGGAAGATAGTCAACCATTAGGCTTTGTACAAACCTCACGCTGAATAATACCTTCATGCCTGCTGTTCACGAATACAAAAGAACACGTGCTGTGTGTGTGGCTGGCACTTAGCTAGGTCTGCTTTACAACCGGGTCAGCCCTGCATCAGACCCCAGCTGATGCAAGCCGGCATCCCAACATCCTAAAAAATACAATGTTACACGGTAACTTACACCAGCAATGTACGCATACACAAATCACCACCAGCACTGACACAGCACTGACACAGCACTAACCAATGCGTAGTTCGAGTCCGTAGAGCGATACGCAAACACAACGCCCGGTTTATTGAGTCCTTTCTGCAAGTACTGGCATGTTTTCGTCCATCTGTACAAAACCAAAAAGCAAACATCAGGATATCAACAGCAGTATAGCAACAGGGAAACCTCGCATTGTGTTTATAACCAGCATCAAACCGTTATCGGTGGTGAAGACCGTGATCAGGAGGAGCAGGATGCCGAAGAGTGACCAGGCTGGGTATTCTCTCAAATAGGAACATACCAGTCCCATGATAACAAGGAATCAGAACATGTCAGCCAGTCTGGCTAGATCACTTGCCATACGTTCTTCGTCACGCTACATTGTAGATCACTGCTGTTGGGAACATAACCAGGCAGTCAACAAGCGGTTACAGTGAAACCTATCTAAGACGACCGCTAAACGGACCTTCAAAACGTGGTCTATGTTACCAGGTGGTGTCCTTATCCAGGGTCATTTGACGGAAATAGCATCCCTTAGTCCTGGTTTCAGTGGTCTCCTTATCCGAGTGGTCTCCTTGACAGGTTTTACTGTATTTTGAAAGTCTTGTGTTCATACAGTTCAATACTCCCACTGGCAGATAACCAACTGCAACCAGTCATGGCTATGGCTAAACCTAATTTAACCATATCTCAATTTTATTTGCAACAAGGTTCCACCTTGCCACACCTCCAGACCTCCCACCAAATGCCCCATGGCCCAGTGCAACGATCCTATTCCTCTACTAGGCTCTAGGAAGGGCTACAACCATTCTCACAAAATATACTTATACCTGTAATATGGGCCATCTACTTTTCGATTTGCCTTTCCGATTTTAAATACCGTACTGGTACAGTTCAAAAATAGAATTATATAATTAGTGTACATGGAACAAGCAACTCTGCATTCATGATTGTTCTGTTATAAATTGGTTTCATAATTCGAAAGACAGTACAGCATTTTTAGTCTGAATTGTAGAATGGAGATCGTAAATGATAGTGCACTGTGAAGCTATCAAGAAGTAAAATGAATACCTTTCCGCAGGATTTACCAACAGCGTACTGCCAGCAACGCGGACCTCGATGGTGCCCGAACCCACGTTCTCGCCACCCGCGGCCGAGGCCATTGCGCTCCGGCCTGGCTACCGTACTTCGAAATCTGAACACGAACTGGTCGTTTGTGAAGGACGACACTGACTCAGGATCTGTGCTGCGACATACGAACTCGACTGGGCCTGGGCGAATGCACAAACTCCAGTGAAAGAACTGTGTCTATGGAAATAAATTTCTGTTCCTTTCAAACGCGAAAGCCATCAACCAAGCTTGCAAGACCAGTACTACTGGCGTACTGCAGTGACGCCTGACGGCACCAGTCCATGTGTGGATTCACCGGTACCGTACAGCTTGCGTACACAATGTCGTACATACAGTAATGCACCAGGTGCACGTGCACTGTAACAAATGACTGTCACGAGTGCTAAGGCTGTGTTTACATGAGAAGTTTCAACCCGGGTCGAGTTCAGCCCGGGTTGAAAGTCTGTACGACAGACAAAAGAGGTGAGCGTTTACATGAAGACAGTTGACCCGGGTCAAATACTGATATGCCGCCAAAAGTCCACTTCTACAGTCCTGCATGGTCACGTGAATCCGTTCGCGCGAAATTTGCATCTGCAGTGCTGTTCAAACCTGGCGCGAGATACGCACAGAAGTACGTTTGTACGATTTTCTTGACCCGGGTTGGTTTCAACCCTCCCCTTGGGGGGAGGGTTGAAATCAACCCGGGGCGAAATTTCAACCCGGGTCAAGCGCAATGCGTCATGTAAACGCGCCATTCACTTTGTGCACATGGCGGGTTGAAATCTGACCCGGGTCGAACTCAACCCGGGTTGAAACGCCTCATGTAAACACAGCCAAAGCTGCTTTATCATGCAGGCAGAGTACAGTTTTTTAGTCACCGGATTTTGGTCCATGTGTCATAGCCCGAGAGTGAGGGCTTGTAACTTTTAACTTACTGCTGATAGCTACTGTGCGTAGAACGTGGACACACTGTGTCTTCCGGACCGTAGTTGGAACAGTTATTCTACAATATAATATACGGTGTGTGCCGGCGAGGTCACCTACCCAGTGAGACTGTAAAATGATAGGTTTGGCTGCTGTCAATAGATGAAGCGCACGACTGTGCATTTGCAGTAGAAAGTGCAATACCTGTAGTTATGAATTCGCTTTATAGTAGTAGTACGCTAGGTGTGGATGTGCGTGATTGCACCTGCTTGACCATTGACTGGCTATGCTTTTAATCAAGTACATGTTGCGGTCCAGACACCGGGTCTAGGCTTGCCCCGTTCTAATACCCTTTCACACTTTGCGTATCTTATGATGACAGCCGCTTCTAGATCACGCAGACCTGTGCATGTATGTGTGTGCGTGTGCGTGTGCGTGTCCGATCGCCGTCCGTGCAGCGGACATAGTAGCAGTTTAGCTGCATGTTTAGCAAGTACTATCGCTACTGCCGCTGCTTGCTGTTTTCTACAATGTGTTATATCATAGCATGCTGTTGCTTTTAGCGAGAGATTCTTTCGGTGCTCTTCTCCCAAACAGTGAACATATTCTCTGCTCTGACGAGATCAGTTGGTTATGTGTGTGTGGGGTTAGGACTGGGTGAAGTTGCGTTATGCCAGCCGTGACTATACTTGTCACAAAACGTTCCAAGGGTTAGAGACGACACAGCCATGGGCGAGACTAACCGGAACGCTGTCCGAGCGAGTTATCACAAGTGGTGCTGTGACCAGGATGGCTGGCAAGAACGAGGCAACAAAGTTCACCATTCCTAGAAGAGGCGCGAAGATCTCGGCCAGGCGCTTGTAGACGGTGCAAGCGCAGTCTAAGTATATTGAAGATGTTCAATGTATCCTGCCTCACTACTGGTTGTGTTGTTGTGGGTGCGGGAACTGGCCTCCACCAGGGAATAAAGAGGTTTGTTCTCTGTTGTGCTCGATAGGCATGGCGCAGTGATGACTGAGCCGCCTTTTGTGATGAGAATTGCATGCTGCATGATGGGCATACAGTTCGTAAGGAGGGGTATGGAGGTGTCGTATCTCTGTAGTCTGTTTGGTCTAGTCCTCAAGCTGGGATGCCAGCCGGAGTGATTAGGGTGAACTATTGGCGGCCTTGTGCGCGAGGAATCATGGCATGATGTTGAGAGGCATGCATGATGCGGCTTGCACTGGTCGGCTAGGCTAAATGTGTGATGAACGGGAATCCGGATGGCGCACGAGGCTCCGCGAGATGTCGCGAGTCAGGCGTGGGATCGGGAAACCTGATGCGACGGTGGTCGCTTGGCATGTTCACACGGCGGTTAGGGTTACAGTGGTTGAGTACGCTGTGCCCACGTGCAATTGAGGTGCGGACTCGTAGGCGCGCGCGGGCCGTGATCGGACGGCAGCGGCGTGGCTGAGTATATCAGGCGAGCTGAGGCGAAGAGGGCTGAGTTCTTCGCGGATCAGTCGTCCTGCTAGCACTATTTGTCTACTTTGCTCGTTCTTTTGCTGTGTTGACGATGGCTCAGCAACAGCAACAACAAGGCAGAGGTGTGAATGCGCCTGCTGCAAATGTTCATCAACCGTTAGTAGCTGGTGGTGCTGCTGCGGTGGGTGGCCCTGGTGCAGTGATGGCTGCAGCAGGGGGAGCGGTAGCTGGTGCTGGAGGAGCGCCAGTTGCTCCAGCCTTCGGGAGGCCTGCGGTGATGCCCGAGGCCTACGATGGTTCCGGAGACTGGGTGGAGTATATCCAGTACTTCGATCAGTGCGCGCAGGTGAACGGGTGGAATGACCCGCAGAAAGCGCAGTACTTAGCGGTACGCCTCAGAGGTGGGGCGCAACGCTTTTTGGCTACTATACCGGCTGCAAGACCGTATGGCCGTATGGCAGCATGTGAGTGCGGACCTTGAGCGAAGGTTCGCACCACCTGCTAATGAGCGGCAGTTTAAGGCTCAATTCCGCACGAGGAGGCGTAAATCCGGTGAGGATTTAGCGCATCTGGCGGATGATCTGCGTCGGCTGGTGGTGCGGGCGTACCCCAACATGCCGGGTGGGTTACAGGATGAGCTGGTGAGGGACCAGTTCATCGAGGCGGTATCTCCTGTGGCCTTGAGAGTGAGGCTGCAGGAGAATCCTCCGGCGACGGTGCAGGCGGCATTAGAGATGGCGCTGCACCTGGAAAAGGTTTGGCGAAGTGTTGACTTGCCAAGCGAAGCTCCGCAGAGGCTGGTGGGCCCCTACGGAGAGAGCCAGCAAACACAGTTGGTGACGGCCGCTGTGGATGTTGCTGAGGCTCCAGCGAGAGGACAGACGGACGTCCTCGAGCGTACTTTGAGCAGCCTGGTGAGGACGCTCGACCAACTACTGGAGAGGCGTGATGCTCCAAGTGGTCAAGGAGGGCGAGGCCGAGGAAGAACTCGGGATCAGGAGCCCGCTCGACGAGTGAAGATGTTCACTTGTTGGAACTGTGGTGAACCGGGCCACAGGGCAGCCCAATGTCCTCGTGAAGCGCAGACGGGGCGCGGAGGATACGATGGCTCGAGGAGAGGGCCTTTGGGAAACGGCCAGTGACTGGGGCGATGGCCCACGTGCCTGGTCAGACCATTTCTTTGGGTCGAGAGTGTAATCCGGCAGCACCTGATGAGCGTGCTGTCGAACAATCCATTCCTATGGTCGGATGCGACTCTGGAACGGGGATGTTGACCACGGGGACAATCGATGGGTTGTCAGTGGAGATGCTGGTAGATACTGGAGCGGCTGTAAGCTTAGTATCTGCGGATCTAGCCAGGAAGCTGGGCTACGATCCGGATCGACTCACGGCGGATGCGCCTGGGTTGAAGTTTTGTGGGGCAGATGGTAAGCCTCTGGTGGTGAATGGAAAAGTGATTGTTCACCTTGGCGTTCAAGGATGTGTTTGTTCGCCGGAAATGCGGGTAGTCGATGGGCTACGATTTCCATGTGTGCTGGGACGTGATGTGCTGTCCAGCATTCCCTGTAACATAACCTCTACGAATGGCAAGCTATGTTTCAAGGTCGAAGAAAGGCGAGGGAGTGGTGCAGATGAGGCTCCGCTCCGCTTGCAGGAGAAGATTGTTCTCCCACCACACCACGAGATGACCGTGGCGGCTGTGGTGGACACTCTTGCATTCGATGGGATGCCAGAGTTGGGGCTCACGGAACCAGATTGTGGGACTGCGAGCGACCCTGGTCTCTTGGTGGCAAAGTGTGTTGTGCGGCCACAAGAGAATCGTGTTCCCGTGCGATTGATGAATTGCACGGCGGAACAAATCACTCTGCCCAAGAGAGCCCAGATTGGCAAGCTGTGTGCAGTTGCAACTGTGGTGGACGGTAGTGAAGAGTTGGACGAGGCGAATGACTGGTGTAGCTACGGGGCTAACCAGGATTTGTGGTCTGTACTGCGAGTGGGGAACCCCGATGGTGGTCCCGGCGCAGGGAAGCGCTCTCCAGGCGGGAAGAGGCTGCTTGAAACCGGTGGTGGTGATGACGATGGTCGGTCACACCATTGTGCGATGAGGGATGATGAGGCAGTACACGAGGCCGACGTTGACCAGCGTGGTCGTGGTACGATGCCTGATGGCTGTTGCTCTCAGGAGGGTAACCGGGAGGCATGCTCCCCACCTGATACAGGCAACAGCGAGCAGCCTGTGGTTGAGGCCGAGCAGTTGGCTAGGCTCAGAACCTTGGTCGAGCAGTACAGATGTGTATTCGCTATGAACATGTCCGAGCTGGGTCGGACAGACGTGTTGAAACACGAGATTAGGACTAGCTGTGATTGTCCAGTTTATGAGCCCGCAAGGAGATTGCCTTGGAGCTCGCGAGAAACATGTCGGAAGTTGGTTGACGACATGCTTGAACAGGGTGTGATCGAAGAATCGGTCAGTCCATGGTCTTCACCAGTTGTGTTGGTGCGGAAGAAGGACGGATCGACGAGGTTCTGTGTTGATTATCGGAGAGTCAATGCAATAACCGTGAAAGATCCATACCCACTCCCGCGTATTGATGATACGTTGGACGCGTTGGGCGGTGCGATGTACTTCTCGACGCTTGATCTGTGCTCTGGGTATCATCAGATGCCAATGGACGAGGCAGACAAGGCCAAGACGGCATTTTCCACGCCTGATGGGCACTATGAGTTCAATGTGATGCCATTTGGTGTGTGCAATGGCCCGAGCTCATTTCAACGGCTGATGAGTGCCGTTTTGCGAGGTTTGCAGTGGCAGATGTGCCTGGTATACCTCGATGATATTATCGTGTTCTCAAAG